AAGCTAAACAACCTGATGATCTATGAGTTATGGGGATTCAATCGCTTGATGATCTATGCGAGTTTTTTTTCTCGGCGGATCAAAATTTATATTGGTGCCAGCCTAGTCCTTGGTCGTTGATTGGTTGAGCTGCTTGATGCATTAATTTGGCAGTATCTCAGACTATGTCTGCTTCTAATAGCTCTAAGAATCTTGAAGAACAACCCTGGAATTACGAAGTTACGTCTTGATTGATGGCCCAGCTTCCTTTCTTCCTTACTCTTGGCTATGCGACAATAATGCTTCATTACTCCCTCCTCCTATCTTATGCTCCTCACTATGTATGACTAAGTGGTACATCCATGACGATAGAGTTTCTTGACTAGGATGATGGTAGAAACTTTGGATTTTGGGGCTATTCGGGATTGCATTGATGTATGACCTCACCACTGGTGTTTAGTATGTTGTTGGATTGTTTGGACGCTTCATGATTTTACTTCCTTGCGGCTTAGGCGTTTGGATGGAGGTTTAGACTATTTTTAGCTCCTCTTTGGCTAGCTTCAACTTTTGGCAAGCGCGCGCAAGACTTTTCGGCCACATTTGTTGGCGCCACCACCACTTTTCTTTATCTATTTTCAATTTTTGACAGAGTAAGAGCTGGTTGGGCGCGATCTTCCATTGAACGTGCTTCCGAACGACTTTATTTGACGTTCTTCAGCACGTTTGAGCGTTTGGAATCTGGGTACCAACTCCAACTATAATTTCTCCAAACTATAATTTCTCCAAACGCGTGTCGAACGTGGCAGCTATGACTTTCTGAGTGTGATTTCAAAATCACAAGGTACATGATGAGTAAGCGTATAATTGTTTTTCTTCTCAAATGTCTTGAAACTTCTTAAATTATATTGGTAACTTGGTAGGTTCTTGAATAGATTGAGATGTCAAAATTGTATAAATTGCAAACATACTTCCATTCTTGGCCGTACTCATAAAATTTTGAACATCAATCATCAATGATTCTTTGATTTTTGATCTTTGAACTTGATAGAAACACGGATGTGGAACATTTTAAGTTGTTTAGACAAAATGTGAACAACTGTTGTTAGATATGTTAACTTTCACTTTTTTCAATCTATATCGAGATTAATCATCTCTAACCAAGAAATACCTAGAATGAGAGAGAACTAATGAGGGAGAACTAATGATATTGAATACAAGAATATTTCTATGTTGTTCTACTAGTTTAGTATCTAATGAATTTAATGTGAGTGACATCTCTTCAAATCAAGGTCATATTCAACTCTTCATAAATGTGTGTGAAGTTTTTTCAGCATGAAAAGAGTGAGATATAAGAAATTTTTACAATAGCATATCAACGAGCTACAAGTAAATGGCATGAAGATTGAGGTCGGAGCCTAATTTATAAGCTTAGAGTGAAATAAATAATGTATTTTTATGTTTGAATACATATTACATACAAAATTAGAAATATATATGTCTACATGGCAAGTGATATTATTTAGTTGTATTATGATGTATTACAAGATTTCTATCAATAAAACAAGCAGAGTTTCCAAAATCTAACAAGTCTTTGATCTTAATGTTGTAAGGATTTATCTATTTTAAGCAAGATATTAAAATAAAAAGAAGTTAATAGTGTATTATAGTACTTGATGATGTGGCAACACTTGTCATTTGCATGGTTCCTGATGTGACTGGCTGGTATTGTATTCTGATTTGATTTTCTTTTGTCTTGGCTCACAAGTGCTTGAAATGTACCAAAATTTATGTAACTACTATCCTAAAGTTCCAAAGAGCAATTTTTTCACTCATGAGTTTTTCTCAACAATGAAAATACCAGTGATCTCTACAACGTTTATTTCTTTTCTATGTTTAGCTTCCTAACTCTCATAGTGTTGCTTTACATGAGCTTCAAGTTCAAAGTGCTGAAAATGTTTGGCGGGTTTGAGAAGTGTGATGAGTTCGATACGACCCAAAGAGACATTGTCGCTCATGTCGCTGCTCAAAAATCCAATTCTCGCATATGATTATTTGAGTAACTATTTCCGACAAATTAATCCATTTGGTCAAGTTGAGGTCAAGTTGAGCAACAAGGTTTTGATATTATCGATATTCTCTCCGTCGAACATGGTAATGAAACATGCTTAGTTCTAATACAGGTTGAAGTTGTACAACTTCTGTTGACGCTGGAGATGATGGAGACATTCTAGCTAGATGTTGAGACCTTCTCCATCTTTGATTATGGCCTTTGTGAAACTGTTGCAATTCTCGTCTCTCACTATCCGTCCTCATCTAGCTCCGAATCTACAATTGAACTGAGAAAAGTAATATTGATGCTAGTAGAGCAAAGATTACTGCTATTAAAGAAAACAGAGTGTTCGTTATCTCGCGAGGCATACTCACCCTCCGTGCACAAGGTGGAGATTCACAAATTAGACTCGGCACTCATCACTACCTAAATATCAGGAAATCGTGTAATTTTGCTAAAACCAACATAGTTGATGATATCATTAGTTTATGACTTGCAAGTAGAAAGTTGGAAGATCTGAGAGATAATCTGTGAAACTTTAACTCGACAAGTTGGTAAGATGACCAGTGAAGCACGTGTACAGTCATAATGCATTGCCGCTGGCTCTGCCTTAGAGGGTACTGAGACAACACAAATTCTTAGCAGGCATTCTTAATTCTGTGCACGCCTTGCGTGTAGGTGACTGGAGCTGTAACTGCCTGTTTAGCAGATAGGCTGCAGACAACCTGGTACAGCTCTATAACATCTCTCAATTGGTGTAACCTTTGAAAGATTGAATCGAAACGAGACGGATAGTTCTATTGTGTGTGTTCAATCGGTAATATCAATTCACACAATAGAACACAACGTGGTGCAATAAAATAATCAACGCGAAGTATGTGGAGCGTCGCCTTAATCAGATGGAAAGACCACCAATTTCTCCGTCCAGTCCACTCACCCGAAAGACAGGACCTGACCAGCTCAACCACACCAGAACTTACACACACTCATCAAATTCCCTCCGAACAGAAATCTGATCACTTCCACGCTCGCCCTTATCATCCATGTCCGTGTCCTCAATGAAAACCCATCACAGATAAAGCACCAAAATCGATAACATCCATCACTAAAAGGTGGCGCCATCGTATTGATCACGATTTCTCAAGTATTATAACTTGAGATCAAACGTTTAAGAACCAAAGAGATATGTACCACAATCTAGTTAAGGGCACAAGACATACTTAGAGATAATGCCTAAAAACAGATCCTGACCGTTACATCCCATATGAATTGCATGCCCCGTCAATATATCCGTCGTCAGTAGACCTCCAAGACAGAGCGATGTCGTAATATATTTAACTCGCGATCCCAAGATTGAGAACCAAGCAGATAAGTATCACAGTTAATATAAGGATACGTAACACACATCACCATAGGCGTGGTGGAATGTAGAAACAAATCCTACCAATTTATTGAAGAAGCTGTACCTACAGGATGTGCATGTCACTCGCCGTGGCATGCACAGTCGAGGCAGCCTGAATGCTTAACTCCCCTTCAATACATAGATAAAAGATGAATGTCACAATTGTCACAATTGGTCAATTGACATCCCATCTGTGCATAGGGATGCCTAAGTTGCCCTCCACACGTACAAACACGCACTCGGACACGGGTCCAGACGGACTTACATTGATTATCTTTTCAACCTAACCCCAACATGTCAAAGTCAAATTCGGTATTGAAGTCAACTATGGAGTTCGAAACCGACAAGGATAGGCTCTATAACGCTAAAGATTTGGTCCAGAGCAATGCAAGAATACACGAGTCTTAGTGTCCGTATTACACGACAGATATTTTCAGTCCTGTAAACTTGAACAGTCATCTATTTAACAAGCCTTAAGCTGCAAGTGTCATGGACGAGTTCCACGGTATCCAGGACTACGCGGGTAGAGTGGAGCATCCACTCCTGGGCTTCAGAGTTCTTACTCGTAGACGTAAAAGCTCACTAAAATGCCTCCTCTCGAGCCCAGTTCAGTTCCGCCAGTCGTGCAACTGACTCCCAACACTTAAACTAGGGCTCTGAGTGGCTGCGGGATAACAAGGAACGGAAACATTGTGTATCTATTGAAACCGACAGTCACGGCAACATGTGGAACTGCGGCTTACCTGGTGCGTTGAGGAGTCCTCTAAATCGTGGATACCCCTAGTACTGTTCGACCAGGTGGTTTCCCTGGAGTTGATCACCCTCGACAAGAGTCATGACATTTGGTCTCAATGAAGAAGAAGGTTGCTCAAACTACCGTGGGCTGATATAAGCAAGAATACAAGCCTAGAGGACAACCACGAATGTTATAACTCCCAAACTTCCCAGGACCCAAACCACCCAACGAGCTGCTCTGCCAAATCCTTCCTGTACGTATGCTCTGCTTGTCCAGGAATCCATAACCTCCATTACAACCTTCAACCCCTGTTCCTCTTGCCTTCGAGCTATGATTCTACCGACAAAAATACCCTTCAGCTACATGTCAGAGGTTCTTCACACAGCCACGAAGTGAAGTCCAACCTGGGTATATTTCCTGGCGAGTGGTTCTTGAACGAAATTTACAATACATAGGTATGCTACTTCTTCCAATCTGGAAGAGAGCGAGATTTCAAGAACCCTAGCTGTTCGCGTACGTGATTCAAACACCTTTAACCAGTTCTTGAAGCCCATGCGATCCTCGTCCACACTTTGATCTTGAAGCGTTGCCAAAAAGCAAATGCTCGACACCGCTCCCTACTGCATGGAGTTCTTCTACCTTGAAAGAAGCCCTGAAGATCTGTCCATGCAGACTGCTGGCAAAAGTACTTACAACTAAAGAGTGACAATTTCCTCACATGGAAGCTTCACCCATGAGAGGTTGTTTACACGAACGCAATCGTCATTCAAAACTCTGGTCACAATGAGCCACTTTCAGACAACTCTGGAGACAATAAAGAGAGATATAAGATCGTGAACACCTCCATTTGAGCCATGAGACAACGAAAGCGCGAACTGTCGCTGTTTGGTAGGTTTGTCATTCAATAAAATGTAGACAAAGAACAGCACATAATTCAGATTTGACCTTTTAATCATTGCATTGCCAGGAAGATTGTGGCAATCTATTGATAGCAAAAGGCTCAGGAACAAAAATAATTTCTCATCTTACAAAGGGGTGTTAAAACCTATTCGTCTTCCTCCTCTTCATCACCGTCTCCGCCGGCGGCCTTCTTGGATGCGGCCTTCATGTTTCTTCTCTTCACACGGCCTGGTCTGCCTCCACCGAGGGGGCTAGATAGAGCGAAATCGATGTGCTTTTGGCTATCCACACGAACCAGGAATGAAGGTACGTCGACAATTTGCTTGCCAACCCTACATACACAAAAACGAAGGGTCAGGTCCTGCAAGTTTTGGAAGGCTGTGATGAAAACCAAGAATTGATATCCGGTTAGAGAGGGAGATCACCTGATGTGGCGTTGCTTGATCAACACTCGGGCGTGGTGAATGGACTTGGCCATACCAGACTTGAACACGAGTGTCTGCAGGCGCCTCTCAAGAAAGTTCTCCACAGTAAGAGCCAACACATAATCGAGCTTGGTTTGACTCTCATCTAGGAGACCGTATCGGTTCATTCTTCGTAGGAGGGCCTCTCCCTCGAAAATTCGCCTTGTATTTTTCTCGTCCAAGGTCAGAAGTGTACGAGCATTGTTGCGGATTTTGCTCAATGCGTACTGCACGCGCCACAGCTCGCGCTTGTTTCGGAGACCATACTCTCCGACGAGCTTCAGCTCAGCATCGAGACGTTCCTTCTCGAACGGCCTGCGAGGCTTCTTGAAGGTCTTTCCATCTACACAGACGGGATTTCATAATTTCATTCTCTCATATCTCATTGCGACATACTCTTCGGCACATACGAGGTAAAAACACCTCGAAACACTTTCGGCAGGAAACTTTTAGTTCCGAACACATTTCCACCACTTTCATTGTGCCGCAAAATTCTCATCATATCTTCTTACGAAAAAAAAACTGTGAATTTATTCCTTCAATAGTACAGCTTAACCAACTCACGACCACTGAATGGCCATCGAAGACGTTTTTTCCTAAGAGAATGGCATAACACTCGAATCTTGCGGTTTTGCGTTAAACGAGCAGCATTCTTTTCGAAACAATTTGTTCACGAAACACATCTAAAGAGAGGATTCTAACTTACAATTTCGGTAGACCGCAACGTGCACCATTGTGACTCCCCTCGGTTTTCAACTCGCGGAGATTCAAAACAGTAACACCGCGCAAAATCCTGTGAGAGCTCGAGAGCTCGAGGTCAGAAAGAATCGCAAAGTGCTGAGATCGGCACTCAAAACTCGAACGAAGTTGCGGGAGATCTGCAATACCAGATCCCTAGATCGGACGGCCTCGGTCGCCTGATTATTACATAGATGTTATGAAGTCAGCGATCTGCATTATGCCAAATGTAGTCCTCACTTCTTGGCCCCCTTTTTCAGTTTTCGCTATTTTAATATTGCAGCGAAGCTTTACTCTGAAAACATATTCCCTCTGCAGTTTATTCATACCCTAAGTGCCACGACCATTCTGACGACATATGATTCAGACCCGTCTTTTTTCCAGCGCTCAAACACAGCTGTTAGGCATTGCTTCTGGCCGATGAATAGATTCATATTTTGTGTTGCCTTTAGGTATCTTGATATTACGTAGAGGACATGTGGTACCATTGCTTTGGATTTTCCGAACAAGCTCTGCTTTAACATGTTTATTTATAGGAAGATTAACTCAGTTATCATATATCTAGCCCGATAGTCATACATTACTCCTCCTCAGCAGTAAATAATCTCTCCAAGTTGAAAGCTGCTTTCTGATAAAGGTAAGAGTGGATATCAGGATTATGGACGAAATCTTTAGCATGATAGCTATATTGAGTTTCGAAAAATTACAATTTTTACATCTTACACAATCAAGTTTAATTCCTACTGTAAATTAAAAATTATAATACTCATTGTTGAAGGCTTAGTTTCAAATACATAAAACAAACTTCTAAAAAAGCAAAATTTTCCAACAAATTATCCTAACCTACATTTGAATTATAGATTTGATACATTTATTTCTGTTTTTATATTTTTGTATTCCGGAAAGACGTCATTTATTGATATCAAACAAAAGATATGAAGACAAAAGTATACCATCCATTACAAATTATTATAACATCAATACATAAAATACAATTTTATCAACAATGTATATATTATCAAACTTTAACCTTGACAATTTCAGAAATATGGAACCACACAAAAATAAAATACAAGATTGTCATGATATGTGTGTTTTTCCATTATTAATTTATTAAAAAAATAAATCTCTTTAATAAAAAATCCAAAATATTGTAAAACTATAGCATCAAAATGTTATAGTAATATTATGTAGAACATCACTATATCTTTCTATTCAATTGACAGATGCAAATAATTGTAATCATATTACTAGTTAAGATTAAATCTCAAAATAAATTATTTTCTACCTCTCGTGTATAAATAACATGCATCTCAACATTTAACAAAACTTATATCAAAACATCACGCAATTTAAAAAAGTAGAGTCTAGTTATACTTCACTTTTGGCTATTTAACCCTCACTCTACTATAAGCTCTTATGTGATTGGTCGATGCAAGATTATAAGTTGAGTTCTTGTTACTTCTTAAATAGAATGTTCTTACTAAGTTGACGGGTTTTAGTTATTTCCCATCTGCGTCAAATTTGTCTCTATGGCATACTCATGTGACACGTTCAAAATAAAACTTTGCCTTCGCATTCGATATCAAATTGAACTTAACAGCCGATGATGTAGATTAAGATGTCTTTGTGTGGCATGGCGCACAAAAGCCAACTTAGTTTTCACATATCAGAGTACGTCCGCATGCAAACAACGGACATATATATGATCGGCAAGCAAGCACACTGCTTTTTTAGAAGAGTTGTTGAAATTAAACTATGTTCATTTTAAATCTCTTGGAGAATTAAACCAAAGAGTCAGCGCTCGTCAGGTTCAATTTTCATTATGTCATCATCATTTATGAAAGTTTGAAACATCGATGAATCATGCTTGATGCTTGCATCAAGCCTATAAGTTTCTTGAGCAGATTGTGATGATGATTTCAATTGATTGTTGTTTATTTCATTCTCGTAATTTTCTTTCACGGTTGCATACGCGTCTCTTGATGTCGTCGTTGTTTTTTGTTTTCAAGCATAATCATCTTAGATGCACGTATGCTTCTAAGAACTTCTACCAATTTAAGATTTTTCCAAGAATTGAACCGGCTATACGGCTTTAACGACTTCTACTAAGTTAATATCTTCATGAGAATTGAACCAACTAGACGGCTTTAACCAAACGTGGCAAGCGTGGTTTTGATGTGGCGTCTACCGTAAATGCGGCTTTGACGCAGAGTAAAAATAATGAAAATCCGTCAACTCATAATAAACATCATATTTCAAAATTAGCAACAACTCACTCTTAAATCCTGCATCTACCAATCAAGTAAGAGTGTATAGTATGGTGAGAGCTAATTAGCCATAAGTGAATTACAACTAGCCACTAACTTTAAAAATTAAAATCATTCATAAACACTACAATTACAATATGTGCAATATTACAATTACAATATGTTACAACAAAATAATGGAAAACTTCTAAAAGTGTAATGATTTAATATCTTAATAATAAAATTCAAATCTATTCAATTTGATGTGATAGTACAATAAATAAAGTTTAAAATACATTATGTTTATTTCATTTTATACAAATATAAATTGAAATCTCACGATTGTAAGTTACATATATTTTAATGTGACATTGAAACATGAATACAACATTTACAAGCTAATTGTATTGAAACAAAAATTTACAACTTGAATTTAAATTATATTTTATTATGATTGATTTTATTTTATTTTTCAAAAAATACATAAACATTTGTGATATGTTATAAACAACTTTCATTTTTACCAGAAAATATTTTTTTTCAAGTTATAATTTTAGATTGTAAAAAACTGTTCAAAATTTTAAATTTATTTTTATAAACATTATTTCACTTGTATATAACAAATATTTAAAATTATATTCAATAATTTTTTAATATATCAACAAATTATATATTATGATTATAAATTTGTACTCACAATTATCTTTTTACACTAATGAATATCATTATGTTATGAATATATTTATATGAATTTTTATGAATCATACAATAAGATTAATTATTGAATTTTGTATTTTCCTTTGATAATTTAAAAATATTTTTAAAAGAATTTAAGAAAATTGGCCTATAAGATTTGTAAATTTATTTCAAACGGGTTTTTTTTTATAGTCATTGATTATAGTAAAATATAAAATATCACATTAATATAAACAGTAATTATCTTTTACATACGTAACATCATGAAATAAAATAATAACTTTATCATATTAAAAAAACATTATTCTAAAATTTTAATATTCTAAATAAACACTGTTAAAAAATTTTACAATAACAATAATAATATATTATGATGAAATATAAAATGTTGGTTCTACTTCATTAATTCACATATTTTGTACAAACTAGTAAATAAAAGATGCATATTATCAAACTAGATTATATATAATGATTTAACAATTCAAAAACATCTTATTTATATTTTACAAGCAATACTTGCACATATCACATTATCATCATATCATAAATTTAAATTAATTTACAAGACATGTGAACATTATGCACTTATAGATAGATTGTGTCACTTGCAGATATGTTATGATTAAACAATAATTAGTAAATGTAAGTAAAAGTAAAATCACAGCTAACCACAAGACATAACAGTCACCAAGTTTAAAGTGTTCAAACTCTGTCCGATACGTCCACGATAGGAAACCTCACGTGTGAGAATATTGAATAGTAAAAGTATTGGTAATTCAAATGATCACAGGTTGAATACTTTCAACAGATTTGACGCTTTGCAGCTTAACTTAGCTAGTACCTAGGTTACTTCTAAACAAGATTTAACCTCAACACCATATATGAAACATTATACTAAATAACTATATATATATATATTATATATGTTAAAATATAAAATATGTAGCAATAATCAAATCATATATATGATCGTACATGCTGTATACTTTATTTTTTACATATCTACATCCTCACATAAATATGATTTATACATATGATTGTTAGAAGTTTTTTCTCATGTTAAATCAAAATCAATGTAATCATAGCTTGATAGTATAAACAATTGTTAAGGATTTGTATGACTATGCAAAGAAGTTGATGAAAGCTATGCATGCATAAATTGATGGTTAAAAAACAATATGTGTGTGAAGTATGTAATGCTGTAGAAATGAAATTTATTATTTCATGTGTTGAATTTTTTTTACCAGCAAAAACGACAAAAAAATTAGAATATATTTCAAAATGTAGTAATTAATTAAGCAAAACTTGAATCAAGCAATCTAATTAAAGCTAGATTGCTAGTTGACATCATGAATCATATAACCGTTTATCTATGATACAACTATTGAATATCATAGAGTATATAATAAGTGTTGTAGTTTTTTTCTTTAAGTCGATAGAATTCTATCAAAAGTAGAATAAAATAGATCATTATTTTTGTACGGTTTGCTCATCATAACAGTTATGTTGTGGCTCACATCTTTTAAACATTTCCTTTTATGTTGTGCTCTATCTACCTTACATGCATTTTGTCAAAACATAATTAGTATCTTCTTTTGTGACAAAAAATATACTTGCTGCAATACGTATGTGGATTATGTCATACCTTTATCTTAGCCAAAACAACTGAAACCAATTTCTTGCTTTCTTCATATTCTTACAAAATAAAATATTGAAATCAATACTTATTTTTACCCACATACTCAATCTAACAGTTCATTTGTATGTTGTATAACCGGCATGATAATTTTACTTAGAAATCAAGATGAATTCCATGATTCAGCTGGAAATGTTGAAGCTTGTATTTGGGGAAGTATTTTTGCATTATCCTAGTATTTGTTGGCTTTGATGCATATGTTTTTCATATATACATATTATAATTTTGGAGTCACTCATGACACAAATTATATACCCTTAAAGAGATGTTTGAAGAGTTTACTTTTTTATCATGTGTGCAACAACATAATTCAAATGTTGTGGCATCTAACTTACATAAAAGAATTATGAAAGCAACTCTATAACCAAGCAGTGTCAAGGTTTAGGGTTTAAACTACACCCTAAACTGTCACTGACACCAATGTTGACTTGACACTAGTGTAACAAATCACTTGTAAAATGAATCTTATATCATGTAAATGATTTTGAATTGAATATCTAATTTATAATGTTGAGTAGAAGACTATAACTATCTTTCACCATATGATATGTAGCAAATATTTAGACAATGTTTTCATAGGTTGAAATCTAGAGCACTTATATGTTCAGAGAAATGACAAAATAAAAAATGGTTTGCGCAGGTATAGTAAACCTTGAATACAAGAGATATGATTTAGGCGTAAAATGTGGTTACATATATGAAAGATGAAAAGAGATAAATACGCAATGCTTATACTACCAAGTAGTATAAACGAACATGATTTTGGGATTAAATATATACATATGCGTCATCAACGTCATCTTTTCAATGCAATAGGTTCAGATGCTGTGCTACAACATATATAACATTTTGATATATATGTAAGTTGGTATATGTATTTTCTTTGGGCAAGATGAAAACTTTGTGGATGTTTAGTCCAATGTATTCTGGCTTGAAGATGCTAAATAATATTCAATATTTACAATTATTCTCTTTTCCTGTCACTTTCAATCCTCAACAATACATAAATTTTCTTTACAATATAAAATATGTACTTTAGTTAAAAATAGTAGAAGACCTTTTCAATGAATATAGAAAGTGAAGGTAACTTTGGAATCGATTCCATAATGCATCCGACACACTTACTAATTGTTTATTAAGTTAGGGCCAATGTAAATAGGATATTTGTAAATAAATATACGTATCCACGATGAATCCGCGATGACAGATTTCATGAATCGATCTCTCCGGCTACTACTGTAATGGGTTTGTGACGTCGTAATTTGTCGACCTTGGATCACACCGCAAACGAGAATAATAATGGGCAGCAGGTGACAAATGGAGAAGGATGTAAACTTCAGAAAATTGAGGACCGAACGACCGTCGCGGCAAGAATACAGGCTTTAGGTGAATAATATATAGAAAGAAAGCGGCCCAGCGAATCGGCCGATAGTATAAAAAAGCGCGGTCGGCAAGGGAACACTCCGCAGAGAGAGAAAAGGCCCATCTTTAACTAATCGGGCCCTCGCCGGTCGCCGGTCGGCGAGGAAAGCTCCGTAGGGAGGAAAAAGGCCCACGGACAGCGAATTGGGCCAGTCGCCTGTCCTCGCCGTGAGCCAATTGACACCTCGTCAATCGAAGACGGACGGTCGACGAAGGAGGCCAGCGCCGGTCCTGCTGCGGCTCGGGGTCCTCGTCCAGAGTCAGTCCTGACAAAGCGTGGCAGGTGACTGCGAGCCTGACGGACAGACGGACGGATGAGGACAGAGGGGGTCGGTCCGCCGGGCGGAGTAACGGACGGAGAGCCGTATATGGATCCACCGCGGAGCTGCAGTTTTCAGTTGTAGAGAGCGAGCGCGGGCCGACGAAGAGCGAGGGAGGAGCAAAGAACCGATCAAACGAAACTGGGAACGAAACGTGTCAAATGCGTGCGTGGAGTGTGGGCTGCTGTATTTGATGCTTTGAAGTTTGCGCTGCTGCTCTCTCCTTCTTCCTTGTACATCGAGCGAGCTCTCGTTGTTGTTTCTTGTTGGCAGTGGCAGCGGAGGAGGGTGGGAAGGGAAAGAGAGGAGAGGCGAGGCGAGAAGAGAGTTTAGACGAGGTAGCGAGACAGGGGATCTGGATTTCGGGGGTGAGTGTGGCGATCCAGAGGGCAATAACTCGCGACGACATCATGGTCAGAGAGGAGGGTGTATGAGGGAGCTGGGTGGAGTGGAGTGGAGGGGAGGGATCGAGGAGAGAGATGACAGGAATGATTTGGTGTCGGGAAGAGGTGGTGGCGGGGCAGAGGAGTGAGTGGATGTAGTCATTGAGAATTACGAGTGTGTGACGAGGGCGAATTTCCTGAAAATGCCCTCTTTGCACAAATTCTTGAAGCTGAAGGCTGGCGTGCGAGCGACTGTGCAATTAGAAGGCCAGGGGAAGGGACGGCTTTTTCTGCTACGTTCGAGCAAAAACGATAAGTCTCCCGGGTGGCAGAAAGGTAAACAGTCGGTTTGCGCGCCGGGGAAGCCTGTAGATTGTGATCCTAATACCTCTTCGACGCGGCCATCGTTTGTCAATTCTTTCGTCTCCGCCTTCTCGCCCGGTGCCGGACCTGCTGGGCCATCATCGGTGCCATATTCCGCGTCTACTCTTGACCTTAAGAATGGGAAGAAGGAAAGAGGTTTGACGGCCACCGCGGCAATTTCGAGGGTGATTTCCACTCCGTCCGTGCACGGTCAATTCCGACAGTCTTCTCAGCTTTTGATCGACGGGAGCGATTCGGACAAGAATAGAGACTTGTCGGAGAAAGGCCTTTTTGTAGCACCGGGTAGAACAGCGAAGGAAGTACTTGGAAGAGTTAAAGATGCCTTTACAAACGAGTCCGGCGAAAGATTATTTTCAAGGAGAAATGACAAGGGCTCATCGCGGAATGCTCTTTCCTCCTTTAAGCAAGAGCTGTGGAAGGAGAGACGATGGAGGGATTTGTCATTTGAGGCTAGGGACGATCCCCTAGGTAAAGTCTCATCTTTAGAATGCAAGACCCTAAGTGACAGCAATGGTGAAAGAGCTGAATGTAGAGAGTATGGAGTGAAAAGAGGGACTGCCCGCTCCGTAGTAAATTCGGAAAGAGGGGCGGGCAACTATTATGGCGATTACACCCTGGAAGTGGAGGAGACAGGGAAGCTGAATGGATTGACACAGCAGAAAGATCAAGAGAAACCAGGAAATATCGGGTCAGGAAGACCACAAGCCTTGCTCAATCGTGCTCCTGGAATTAGCGTTCACAATGGCAGCTCCATTTTACCCCGCTTCGGCGAAGTGTTTATAAGGGCGTTGCATGACGTGAGTTTAGCAGGGGATGGTTTGCCTTTGGAGCGGTTATCTGACAATGACACCCCCGAGCGGCAGTCTGAGCAGTAAGAAGCTCTTCTTCTATGTGTTATTACTTCTTAAGCACCCTGAACCTACAGGGCCAAATAGAATGGAGATATATAAAACATAATCAAGAAGTCACCGGAATACATAGCTCTGATAAATGTGCGTGTCATAACATGAAGAGTGTAGACGCATGTTGTGGTCTACACACTTTGCAGTTCACAGTAGAGCTTTTATTAACCCGTCCAGTTCCAAGTTTTAACAGTGGAAGGGATTTGCGAGTCCTCATACGGTATTGCTTATTCATGCTTCACGATTTTCATGTCCTCTTTGTTGTTGTGCAGAGCTGTAAGTGATAGCAAATCCCTGAAGCTCCTCTCCGGGGCGTGTAATCTTCCGCACCCCGACAAAATCAAAACTGGAGGAGAGGATGCATACTTCATATGCCCTGATAAGCAGGTGGTCGGAGTGGCAGATGGTGTTGGTGGTTGGGCGGATCTAGGAATCGATGCCGGAGAGTATGCCCGCGAGTTGATGTCGCAAGCGATGATTGCCGTCAGAGAGGAGCCTCAAGGATCCATCGATCCTGCGAGAGTGCTAGAGAAAGCTCATTCTATGACGAAATGCAGAGGCTCCTCTACGGCTTGTATACTTGCTTTGTCAGACTCTGTAAGCTCACTGACAGAAAACCTTAAAGAGAATTTCCATTTGTTCACTTTTACATTGTCACTTCAAGTTATGCCGCTTGTACATTTGTCCTGTATATTTTTTTCCATTTCATTTCAATGCATATATGTTTGCATTCTGCCTTTGGTGCATTTCTTGATAATGCTTGTACCTTCGCTACTATACAATAGTTTGCTTCAAGTCTGTGCTCCACCGAACTCGGTAGAGTTGATCGAGATTACTCTCAATATTCTTTCGGATCTTCGTCTCAACTTACGTTGTGCAAGACGTTCATTATCCCTTATTGGGAATTCTCAGTCTTGTACAAGTCGGGCCCCTGTAATTGCGCCTTTATCTTGCGGTGGTGTTCAGATTGAAGCTCCTGTTAAACTTTTCGTTTGCTGCTTTTCTCATCTCATTTATAATCACGTTTGTTTGTCTCATAAATAATAGAAGTCCTTTTGTTGCGCCCGTTTGTTGGAGTCAACAACACGAATATTGCTGATTGGTGGTCATTTGACTTTTTCTTTTCCACGGTCGGTCTGTAAACCTCTGTGTCGAGAAAAATGTTCCCATGAGATGACTCAAACTTAAACTTTTGCCACTATTACAAACCTTTCATGCCCTTCGACCATTGCAACAATGACATCTAGCTGTCGATACGCTTCCATCCACGACTTTTGACTGATTCGATCTTAGCCCGTGGAGAAATCTTTGTTTTCCTACAGGCTTCTTCTTATCTTATCTAAGTTCAAGTTAATATTGTAACTTGCCCTAGAGCCTTTTAGCCAGTATATTGAGTAGGTGGGCAATATGGTATTTTGTTGGTAGAAGCGCCTTCTGGAGGGCAGTCAAACCTTCTTTCGATTCGGTGGAGTCGCCCTTGGGTTGTAGGGATTGGTACGTGGATCGGGCCATGCCATCTTCTTTCCTTGACCCACTTATTCGTCTACTGTTATTGCAGAGTTACCAAAGTAATGCATTCTGTGCTCGAATATATTGTATGATCAGTTTCTGTGAATATCGTCTCTTCTTTTTCTGTTCTGTGTCGTCTTTTAGACCCATTGTACAGCACTTGTACCCACTTGGTGTTTATTGCAAAATTTCTGTAGGCCTTGCAGTCGATCACGTCTCCTTACAGTTTCTTCAATGTAGAAGCCAAATTTTCCATCCTCACTCGAACCTTGGTTCATGTTTGATCGAGGGTGTGGACATCGGTCCTTCAGCTATGAACCTCATCAATCATGCTGGACACCGTGTGGAGTAAGGAAGAGAAACTCCTAGTTCGAGCCATACTCGTCTTTAAATTGAAATATGAATACACACTGGTGTTAGTGTACTTTCATCGCTGACGTACGTGTAGAAGTAGGATGAACACGATCTGACTTATCCTTCCCATCCTTTCTTCTGTCTGTGAGGATACTTTTTCTCTGGCCTCACTTAGCACCTTTGCTCTGTTGTGGAAATAGTAATAACGTAGCTGGGTTCTTGGATATTTAGGAAGCCACATTTGTTACTGATTGAAGTTATGGATTCACTTTCCAGGGCAGTTTTCCTGTGGCTGCCCTGTGGCCATAACAATGTTGTATGATCCTGGTTCATACCTTCAGCCTTCTCCAGCTCGGATATGCTTCTGAGAAGAGTCAATGAAAAAAGCTTGAGGAGCCTGATCGTTGTGATTCTTTTCGAAGTGAGGTAATTGAAAATCCCATGTATCCATTGTCATCATGGACGCATCGTTTACCATTGTACATCGTTATGTTTCAAGCTATTTAGAGATTAGTCCCATCAGTCTGATTTTATCTGGACAAGCTTCATGTCAGGACTGAAGCCGTTGAAGCCAAATGTTGAGGTCGATATGGTGATGTGGATGACCCGAACAGTTTACGTTCACTTAATGAATACTACTACACAACCTATCCAGTATGCATTGAATTATGAACTGGTTGTTGGAAAGAGATAAGAGATCTCAGTCTCCTCATATGCGGAACTGACATGGGTTGAGTGTGCTTCAAAGCAAGGATCACAGGTAGCTGGTCAAGCTCCTGCAATTGCCAGAATGTCTGTATATTTGAATCATCTCGAAGCATTATGATCATGTGATATAATCCAAAGGGATTGTCAGCAAATTATCTCGTATAAATGGCTGTCATTCTGAAACCTTAATTAAGAAGAAACTCTGCCTCATCTAATGGTGAAAATTTTAGATTTATTATTTTTATGCTGTTTATACGTCGACTTAGTGAAGATGAGCGGTGGCTGAGTCCGCTGATAGTGGGTGATGCTCGTCTGCCTATTTTTAGCAAGGTACCAGAAGTATTATTAGTACTTCTTGCAATCATGTTACTAGTTCTTTCCATCTATTCATGCCGAATGTCAGCGATTTTTGGGTTTCCCTCCATCATTCTACGCCGAAGTGTCTGAACGCATCTTGAGTATACAAAGAAAAGCACGAACAAAGAACATGAAATTGCCCTATCCATTCTGACAAAAACTTCTATGCAATTGGAGAACAGGTTTTGGAAGCGGCCAACTTGGGAGACAGTGGTTTTGTCATTTTGAGAAATTCTCGTACTCTTTTCAAGTCGCCTGCGCAGCAACACCAGTTCAATATTCCCTTCCAGCTGGAGAGTGGTGGGAGCGATCCTCCTAGTGCCGCCGAGGTGAAGTTTAATTACATGAAATCTGTTACAAATACTCATTTCTGACTTATATGTGTTGCAGAAGCCCAGCATAGCCGCCTATTACTTTCGCAATTTCGAATCATAAGTTGCTGTTTAAATAGTTTTAAAATAGAAATATTAAGCTGTAACTCGAGTCTCGTTTGGCTCTCTTAGACCATGATCGGTATCGAACATTGATGGAACCTGAGTTTTCCGCCGGCATCTGTCTACATGGACCGGGCTCTTGACGAGCGTGTGGTTGTTTTTTTGGGTGCCAGGTTTTCTCGATCGAAGTAGCTGTGGGCGATGTGATTGTTGCAGGCACAGATGGCCTGTTCGACAACTTGTATGATAGTGAGTTGACTACGGTGGTAGTACAAGCGGTCAGGTCGGGTATGGGCCCTCAAGTGACCGCTCAAAATGTGGCTGATTTAGCAAGAACACGAGCTCAGGACAGGAACAGACAGACCCCCTTTTCGACTGCTGCCCAAGATGCGGGATACCGGTTCTACGGTGGTAAAATGGACGACATCACAGTTATCGTGTCATATATCACGAATAGCAAGTCCAGCACAAGTGCATCTTGATCATGTGTGGGCAGCTATCGTTTCAGAGTCGTCTGGCTTGTGATGCAGGTTGTTCATGCTTTGTTTCAGCTGTAATATATCTAGAATCGAGGGACATTCTTGGGTTGAGGAAAGATTTGTACGTCTTGCCAGACCATTCTCTTTTTCGCACTTTTCCGCTCTGGGGGCTTGTGTGATGTTGTGGAGGAAAGGCCGGGAATGATCTTGAATGTAATTATGTGTCATGTCGGAGTAGTTTCAGTTAAATATCGCACTTCCGGGCGAACTTGGTATACTCATGAAGAAGATTGGATCAGTCCAGTTTCTACTCAGACCCTAGTGCTCCCAGTCTTATTGATGGACTTGGACGGAGTTTTTGTTTAAGGATTATGTGTAGAGGTTCAAGCGTCTGCCATTGGAGGCCTTTTTGTCCGACCTCAGCGGTCTGCAAAACTTTTGAAGTGTTCTCCTTCAACCGAACGATTCCATAACTATTGTAATGTCCCTAATAAAGTCGAAGTGGTATATCGCTGGTTGTAATGTGAAGACTAAAGCTTAAGTTTCCTCCATGAATGGTCTATACTGGGTTTTCCTTTTTTTCTTGTAGAGACGAAACTTCTTAATAAGACAGCATCATCGTTTGAAGTATGTATCTTAGGCAGCAGCAACCAGTAAAAGGAATTTCAAATACCTTTAATTTCACGATTGAATGATTAACATGACGTTTAGTCTGCGTTTACTCCGAAGGTTATCAACGGTCATCAAGAATGGCATATAAGCCGAGAATAAACCAGTAACGACCACTTGAGAGGTCGGGTCTTACCGCAGAAATTTCATGTTATTCGGTTTGGTTACTTGTAGACCTTAGACACTTCAAGACGTATTAGATTGTGCAGTACATTTTTCTCATTGTGATGTTTGATGAGCCTAGTCCGATGCTCAGACATAGTTTGTAATTAGCTGAGAAGGGTATATTACCTAACGGATTATATTTAAAAAAGTTTTGTATGTATCGTATCACACCTTACGAAGAAAGGACAAGGTCTTCACTGCTGGAAGTAGCTGCGGAGTCGGAGTAAGCTGACGGGATGAACGTGAGGTTGTAGTCAAAGATCAGGACCTAGGAAAGGCAAGTGTGATTTCGACTCCACATATCGAATCTGACTGGTCAAGGCCTTTCCTTATTTACAGTTCCAAGTTGTTTCTGTTTTTATTGACACCGCAATAGCATCAAATTGAATATGTACAGTACTGTAATCACGAGCAAAATAAACACTAATTTCGAATTAACGTGCTCCGACGAAACGAATCTTCAATCTTTGTGGGTAAACATCGGAGGAAAGTTGGACTATACGTATTAGGATCTGAATTTCGAAGTTTGGGGCAAGAAGAATGCTCGCAGTCATTGCCCAACTGTATTGCCAAAGAAAGGTTGCAACATTAAAGCTACCGTGAACTCATATCAAAATTCCTGAAACGCTTGCCTTCATCATTAGGCAACTCGCCGTACTTGATTATTTGCGGGGAAAGGTAGTAAACCAGAAAGTGGATGATCAGGAGCAAGTTTCAGAGTTTTGACTTAGCTGTCATGTCGTTGAAAGTTCGTGGCATTTCTAGTAATAAGTCTGACCTAGCGCACTACGCTAGAAATGCCCTGCAGCCCACATCTTTTTCTTAGCTGGATAGTTTTTATTCACATGTCCTACATTTGGGTATCTCACATCTCACTGAAATTCATAGGAGTCTACAGAGTCTACTTCGTTAAGCACTTTACGACATTCGGGATGCACTTTATGGCACGCCCTAGCGAACGAGTGGCCATCTATTGGACTTGAGAAATAGCGTGGGTCCAGTGATTTGTGACTGCCGATTGTTCGACCGTAAAGTGGACAAGTGTCAACTTTTTGTGTTGTAGGACAATGTATGTTCGTGCATGGAATTTGGCTACCACCCGTTGCTGGGTTCTAAGGAGAGAAAGCGAAGGCCGTAAGGCCGGCAGGTAGTCAATAGTTTCCATCACAAGGCATGATGAGATTCATTTCCCAGAAGAGATACCTTATCTCGCAACGCAGGAGCAAGAAAGAGCTTGTTTTCTATCTGGTACCATATCAGCAACTCGTGTCTCCATGACATACTCTTTTCACTTGTGGAGGAACTGGAACATCTCCCTCGTGCTTTTCGACACTGAAACACACTCTTGCATGCGGCGCTATTTGCTAACTTTTAGAATTCAACTTGATGTTTGTTGGCTTGTGACTATGGAAAGTTATCTAAACATTGTTCAAGGATAGGATCAAGCAACAAGAATCATTGATGTTTGTAGTATGTTGAGTATCGACATAGATGAATATTGGATGGTATAGAAAATCTTACTAGAGTAAGTCTGGATTGGTTGATTGTCTTCATCTTTTTTTTTTCTTGATCTGATAGTTTCTCCATTCACAAATGGCCTACCCATTTATTCTTGCTCATATATATCATGCAGATTTTCTACACTAGATAGTTGTGTTTCCCTTATTGAAAAAAATAATTAGCATCAATCGACAGGACCATCATCCAGTAATTTCTGTATTTTAAATCGCATTATTAGCATTTATTGCATTCAGTTCAAAAACCTACATTCTCTTAAAATTAGTGGTATATGGCTCAAAACCAAACAAATAATTATACTCACTCCACTTAGAATGTCACAACATATGTAAGGTCGGAAAGATGGTAAATTACTGTGTATCTTTCTACTTAGACAATGTGATTATTGGCCTCTTGATACTGTGAGAGTAAAATTGATCGTTTAGAGGCAGAAGTCAAACAGTGAAACTAACTTTATATAATGGCATTACTTGATTCCATTTTGCATATAGATACAATCATTGAAATCTTTAAAATTTTTAGAATTGGATATTAGGTTATTCCAATTTTAGAAATTCCGAAGTGTAATTAAAAGTAAATGACTTAAAGCCCAATGATTTTTTCTTTGAACTTTTATTTGGTGATCTATGTTTAGTTTTAGATTTATTGGTTTTCTTTTATAATAGACATACAATAAAAATAATATATAATAGACATAATAAAAATGTAGGAAAATTTATTTTTTCTCCCATGTAAAGAGTTTCGATACAACTATTATTTTTTATGTATCAAACAGAACATAAAAGTAGAAATTTTTATTACAGTGAATGAATTTGATTTTTAAAAAATTTGATAAATTAGAAAGTAAATATTATTTCTATCGTGAAATGTACATGTTTTGCAAAATTTTATTTTTATAGATTATAAATTATTACCTTCTTTCTCAAATTATGTGGATAATCAAGTAATAAAATTATTTTTAATTCGTTCAAATGAACTTGAAAAAATTGAAACTGTAAAAGTACAGCTGATGGACATCATGCACCGGTACTTTCGAAACAGGATTGTCACACATGACATAATGCCCGGAAAACCGTCTGGAAGCTGGTGCAAAATCTATTAAAAAGCTATGCATGGGGTTAAACTCGATCAGCGAATGATTCTCCAGAAGAACTAACGATAAATGGAAGGTGGTACTGTGCAAGCCATCTGAAGATCCAGTTCAGAATGAACAGTTTCGTTGCTCCCGAGACTCGGTGGGCGCAAAGTGCATTGTATGCTCTACGTGGTGCCTAAGAATGCTCTACGGAGCAAGAGCTCGGAGTCTCCAGATTCAGTCAGAATGCAACACGAAACAGAACTCAGAAACATGACCAGATCGGAGTCCAGAGTCCGGACTCTGGAGGTCCACTGTCGAGACTCGAGGCCACATGCACGACGTCGACATGCACCATGTTCTTGTCCAAGTCACAGACCCCAATAATTAGACGCGAGGAAAGTCCGCATCGTCGACTTGTAAGAGCGTGGGTGCGGCAGCTGGACGCGTTCCGGCGATAGGCTAACCACGACACTTGGTGAAGGTAACCAGAGCCGAGGTTCTGGGCTCCAGACCAGACAAAAGGGATCCGGGGTGCAGCTCACGTCTCGCCCCACGCCTCCACCACGTGTTCCAACGAATGGCCAGCAAACTGACCTGGATACATGTGATTCCAACGCCGACAGCCGCCCGTTCACATGTATATTCCGCAACCCCACGTTGGTGCGTTGGTTGGTTGACATTCCCCACACCCGAACCAGGCCCCCCTGCTGACGTTTGGCTGCCCTCACCGGGTTCCCCCGGTTTACCATGTAGGCGCGCAGTTGCATGGCATTGCCCGACTATGTCTCGCGTTCATGAACCCCACCCCCAGCCCCGGTCGCTGTCTGTCCTCCTCTGCACCGGACATGTGTCGTAGATGCTCCTAACTGCCTCCTGAACTATGGTAGCCGTTGCGGCGGGGCTATTTATTCCTGCCTACAGTCCAGTTCCAACTACAGTATGGCGTGATTCTCAGATGGTATATCTCTCCTTTGCGTATCCAAAATATTTGATATTCTCCTGGAATAGTGTAGAGAGGTTTATTTGGTCCCCTCTTTAATATATTACAGGAGATGCTGTATTGATAATATTGGCGAGATATGTAGAGGTAGAATCTATATACGATGCCCTTGACTGGACTACGTTTTTCATACATTACAAAATTCTTGCTTTAGAATTATGACTTGACTTCTGACCATGAACGGCATGAAGAGTCTTACGTGGAATAATACGTCAAGAGAAAGTTAAAATTCTCGGTTATTTCCGTTGATGATCTCCAGGCTCCTATACTTTGTGTGGTCAAACATACTCATAGTTTTCTGAGTAGACACTCGTCACGAATTTGTATGAGTGATAGATCTTATTCCATGCAGAAAATACAGGTTCAACAACTCTGAAGCTACAAGAAGATGCGTTGAAAGCTCCGACACAGGAAATGTTGAAATGTTTTGAAACTGTTTATTATATCCTATATATTAAAATCGAAGGATGGCATAACTACCAAGAGCGTGACGATTCGCTTTGTGAGGAATGAAATAAAAGTCTCCTGTCCTGAAGATGGATTACAGCTAGACACAAGTGCTAAATTGATATTCTGTAAATTAAATTCCCACGAAAATAGCAGATCCATTTTCCAGACCGCTGCAAACGAAATGTCAGCGGACTTCTTAACTTCGCAAGTGTAGCGCACGATGTAAGGAGATGGTATCCTTACGCATAATATTTTGTATGGAAAAAATAAATGATGTTGAAATCCCAAAGTTCCATAACTGTCATGCGGTCTGACCCAATGAAGTAACTAGAGTTTGATATTCTGGGCACGCCATGGTCTGCTGACTCCGGTCCTGGTTGGATATAGTAGTACAGAGGTAAGTCATACAGCTCAGTGCTATCCAATTTGGGCAGTCAGGGTTTCCTCCAGCTTCTGTGGAACTAGGATCATCTGCCAAAAGCGGACAAAGGCATCCGCCATCAGGTCAACACGTTTTGCGAGCACAATCGTCTCCTGGCGAAGAGGAAAAGGTCGCCGATACAGGAGCACGTGGAGAGCACACTCGATACAAGAACATCCGTGAACGAGGTCAACCGGTGGGAAGTCTGAACGAGAAGAAGCGGGCTCACGTGTCCAACCTAGCAACGTTGAAGTGGAGACGTCGTCAGCCGGCCACCTCGGCCATTAAGCATTGGCGCGCCCAAAGGTCGGAACTAACCATGGTTACTGCACTTTCCGTCAGAATAGGGTCTCACGTTGCACTTTTAGTGTCTAAATTTGGCAGGACGTTCGAGACGCGCTCGCTAACCGTGGTTAGAGCTGGTCCGGTTACTCGACCAGGGAGGACGCAGGGAAGCTTCATCGTCGTCATTGAAAGCCCATCTTCCGTTGCCGCGCTAGAGACCGCATTCCTTCTTCTTCACTCCATAGAGAACAGCATTTTCTCCCCCAAGGATTCGCCTCCTTAGCCAACATTCTTGACCCTGAGCAGCGAGTTCTTGAGAGTCAGACGGTTGATAGATTCTCGTTTCGCTCGACGTTGATTTGGAAATTTTTTCCAAGTCCTCCCCGAGAGGTCTGTTGTTTTTGTGCCGAAGCAGAAGTTTTGTTTTGGGTGGGTTTTGGGCAAGATCTGGTTTTCTGCAACATTCCCACCGACTGCAAGATCATCCGATGGCGGCGTCGTCGTCCTTGTTAACGATGTCAGGATCAGCGCTCGTGGGTGGTGTAGGTAGTTTACCCGAGAGAAGGGCGCGTTCGAATTTGATGTCTACTTCTTCGTGCGTGACTCAATTGAGTCCCAGGAGGAATGTCTTGAGACAGTCATCAAGTCTGCGCGTGAGTCGAGGCTCGAAGGTGCAGAGGAGATTGGCTGTTGTTTCGCAGCAAGGTTCAGCGGGCGACGAGGAGAATTCGAAAGTGTTCAAGTCCATGAAGGATGCGACGGAGAGGAGGAAGGAAGAGATGTATGGATCTCTAGATGACGTGGAAATGGCAAAAATAATATCTGATGCAGAGCTCTTGAATTCGAGATCCGGAAAAATTAGAAACAAGCCTGTGCAACCACCAAGGTTTGCAACTCTTAGGGCTTTTGGAGAGGCCGGTGGAAATGGAGTCGTCACAGGGTTTGGCGGCACTTCTGTCTTCGAGCTACTTGCTGCCAGCATAGAAGCATCGAAGCAAGTACGCAATTGGGAAGTGCTTTCAGGAAGGCTAGCTATGGTAATTTCTTGATCTTTGGTCGCTTCAAATGTATGGATGAAATTTTGTGTGTTTTTGGTGTGCGGTTCAAGATTTTTATTTGCCAAAGATTCTTTGCTTCTTGATGGAGCGGAGATTCCTATTGGCAGGGAACTACGCTGAAAGAGGTGATGGAAGTCACCTTGGAAAAGCTTTCTCTCTTGAACTTGATTTCGATGTGTTGTTATAGTTGTGATATCGTTTACTTGATCGGAATTGTGTTGATTTCAGTCTGTATATCTTAGTAAGAAAATGAACGGGTTTTTGGAAGTTTCGTCAGTTACGAAGTGTCTGGTTGAAGCTCTTTTTCCTATTTCATATTTTTTCCGAGCGTCAGTGTTTGATTTCTGAGCTCTGCTGCTTGAGAGTAGATGGTATGCGTTTCTAATCAGGAAGTTTCATTTTTCTGTTGGTTTGCAGTTAGCACTGTCGATCGCCATTGGGGTCGAATTTTGCACCGGCAATAGCGTGTTCGAGGGCGTTAATCTCACCGAGCTTCAGGGAGCAGCAGCCTTGTGTGCGGTGGCAACTGTATCTGCTGCCAGTTTTGCTTATGCCTGGCGGGCTAAGGCCGATGTGGTATCTATGATGTCCAGGAACTACAAGACGATGATGGACTCAGCTCTTGATAATCTGATTGATGGGCTCTTTTTTGACGAATCCAAGTAAACTTGTGGATTCTGTATCACCGTCAGGTCACTTCGTCTGTGCCGGGATATGGATTGTTGCACTGACATTTGGTTTTGACGTTAAAAAACTACAATCTTAGTTACGAGTGCCCAGTCTGCTTACCAGGACATATACAAAGTGTAGAGCATCGAGCAGAAGGGTAATACACGAACCCGAGCAGTGTCCATATTTACTCTCGTAGTTATCCTTGAGCTGTGACCCTAAACAATGGAGAGATGTTGGAGAACATGTCGTGGACAAGAAACGCTCGAGGCCAGAAAACTGCAGAACAGAAACGCGTAGAAGGGAAAGTTCGAAGTACGTTGGGCAGTACCATTTATTGCCCATGGTAATAGCTTTATGGGGTAAGCAGCAGTAGAACCGTTTTTGTAAGGATCATCCTTGTGATCATGTATATACATTGATTATGAATTCAGAGGTTGCACCTCTTCTAGGATACATTTGATTTTGAATGTACAGCAGTAAGATCATACATACATAGTGAAGAGAAGTATACAGATTATTCGCGGTCTAATGGATAGGGAGAGAATGGGGCATATACACTTATGTTTTCCTCGCAGTTCAGCTTTTGTACATGAAGAAATGTACAAACTGTGTATAGAAATTTATTATATCAAACTATTCATGTTACACTTGAGGAATACAAAATGAATGCAATTGCGTCAGTTTATTACTACTTTACTCTCCAAATTCGCCCAGGCAGGCCATGCCAACGTTCAGCCCGATTCAGTTTGCGCTTTGTCGTGCGTTTTACATAATGAGAATGTATTCGAATTCGCCATGTCATCACGATAGCTAAACAATTAACCACGACCGATAAATTCTTAACGATGTGTACCAAAGTGAGCTGATTGCGGGCCAACTGAATGCAGCGGGTGAGGAAGCTAGAAGCACACCATGTGATGAAACCTCAGACGGTATGGAGTGTGCCGCCAATACTTCTGCGCTCATTAAGTGCTCCCGGCAAATTCACTGTTTCAGCCTGTCATAACGTAGATTTACAATTAGTAGTGGTGAAAGGGCAGAATCTTATACTATTTGTGTTGTTTCTGTCAAGCGAGTACCTCCTCTTTTTGACCTGAAAGATGAGCAATCTGCTCTTGATCTTTCTTGTGCACAGCTTCAAGTTCATGTACGTGTGCCTCCAGTTTCTTGATCTCTTTCTCCCAATGTTCATCGGCAACCTCGAAAATTCCATGTGCTACCCTAACGATTCTCCAGAGGGTCAGAAGCACCAACAGTCCGGGAGTATCCGAATTTAAACCGATCTCTAGACCTAAAGAGAGCCCCACGACCACAGCGTCCAAAACGTAACCAATGTGTCGGAAAAACGACATGCCGAATGCCACCATCAGGCCGACAACGTTGAGTGCTAGAAAGGAAAGAATGCCAACAGAAACCCACAAGAGAAAGTGCCAGTGGCTCGCATGCTCAAGATGATCATGACACTGACAGTCTTCCAGTAACTTGGTGCAGGTTCTGAAATCAGCGTCCTTGGAATGGATCGTCTTGACGATATCCACCACCGTAACCACCAGATCAACCGTAAGCAGAAAAACGATCAAGACGTGGAAGTGAGTGGACTCTAAAACTTTTCCCAGCCTCACCCTCCACTGTATTCTCGCTTCTTGGATGTCTCTTGTCTGCAGATCAGACACAGGGTGGAGAGTGGACTTTCGGCTTGCATTGTAAAGTTGGTGAATGGTTGTAATAGAATCTCTGGCTTCCTGAAATTTTGGGTTTGATGTTTTCATTTGTCTAGCTTCTCTCATCTCTGCCAACTCCAGATTTTGAGTTCGGCTCGATTCCTAGTCTCGCTTCTGAGTCCCGACCAGTATGTCAGTGTGGCCATTCTTTCAGCGATTAAATTCCTTGTCGTTCTTCCTTGCCCAAGGCAGCTTACTGGTCGTTATTGTCTGCGTTCTATTGCAACTAAAATTTAACCTTCAATTCGTCAGTTTCAATGTCACTGTTTCGGAAGTTGTTCTTGTTCATTCAGCCTTCGGTCCAAGTCAAGGCACACACTGGATGTAATGCATCGAGCAAATCTTGACAATGCCAAGTGTCGGGCTAGTTTCGAGATAAGGGCTGATAAGATTTTTGAGAAGTACTTTTCACGAAATTCCCTTCCACAGTCATTCGTAATGGTGATGGCTTTTCTCCCGAAGACTCGGAGCCGAGCGGAGTTTCGACCATGTACACAGCAGAAAATGACATCAAAGAAAATCGATGCTCCATCACCGAGTCGTCAGTCTCTTGGAGTTCGTGAAGCCTGTCGTTGGCGAACCTTTGACAAATTGAAGTCTACAATGCCCTACTTGTACGTGGTGGTACATCGCAACCGTCTCCAGCTCTTGTCCGTCCAGGCGAAATTGGCACCGAGCACAGATCTGATATTCCACATTTGTGAAGCCACACCTTTCTAGAGTTGTCATTTGTGGGAGCCGGTGGAATTTGAATCAGCCCTCGCCCCGTCCTTTTCTTCTATCGCTTTCACTTGCCGCCAAAGGGCCTGTACTATAAACCCTGATGCACCTCAGGGCGGCGGTGACGAAGGAGTCGGAGAAACCCCTCGAGAAGAGGACGACTTCCGAGCTCGAAGTACAGCTCTCCTGCACGGCACACAGTTTTCTCCGCAATTCCAGCTTCCAGATATCCCCGGACGAAACTGCTGCCAGACAATAATATATTCAGTTCGACAGTTCGGATTGTCGCCCCCGCAAGCCCTAACGGTGTCACTGCGCGTCATCGAGCGAGCTCCGGAAGACGAGATTCGTTCATGGGAAACCCAAATTACATCCCCCAAGCGAAGTCCAACATCGTCGACATTGACTCCAACTCAAATTCACCACTCTCTCCATCCATCACTAGCTCATGGAATAGTAATAGTAGCCGAGCCATCACTCCTCGACGAGCATTTCAGCCAGATCCTCATGGATCCGTGCTGCGATCACATCCGTGAGCGCCATGCACGGGACTAGTGCATTGATGTATGAATGCTTTTGGGTTAAAGAAGGACCACGGGTCGGAGGCCATGATGAGTAGTGAAAAATGCCTCCCAGTACAAAAAGAGCGCCGAACAAACTCGAGGATGAGAATAACCCTCTCCGCTCTATACCCTCGATGGAGAAGGAAAATTAGGGTTACTCTCGAGTCTGAAATCAAATGTTCCTCGTAATGGACTGCAAAGTTGCTGATTCGCTGCTTAATGATTTTTCTTTAGATTTCATCGCTAGTTTCAACTTTCATCCTCTGGAACATGGCGGTGGGAGGGAGTGTAGGATTGGGTGTTTGGTGTCGGTCGGTCGGTCCGTTATGATGTCAAATTGCATGGCGATTTTCGTGTTCGTTTTTTCGAGCATTTTCTTTCTCATAAAGTTCAAGTTAATGTCTCGTAGGGGCTCGTTGGAAAGGCCTTGCGATAATAGAGCAGCAGCAGTCGGTGGGTGAGCCTCATTGAAAGACCGGATCGAGTGATGGCAACGATGAATGTGTCGGCAATCATTACGTAACAGGTGTCGAGAGTGAATGCCCTCCGTGTACCTCATTGTGCAACATCGGGTGCAAACTATATGCAAACGTCCCGAGCGTGCACACAATATCCACACAGCTCAGCTGGCTGCCATAAGTGCCATGCCATTGTCCTCTCATGCAGCCTCTCTCGCTCGCTCGTCCCCATCACTGGTTGGTTCGTTGGTGCACGTGAACCACTGAACGACTTGTGAGATAGAGAGAGGAAGGCATGCCGATTCCCAAGTCCTTGTTCACAAACGTGTCGTGCAACGAAGAACAGATCGATTGATCTCCATGGAGAAAATCTGAGGGTAAGCAGGGATGGAGGATTTTCAGTTGAAAAGGAGAGATCATAAATAGCTGCTTACCTGATTATCATCCCCTGAGCAGCCCCACGAGCACCACCCAGCGATGGGAGAAGGGAGTTTTGTATGGATTTTGTTTTCACTGATACCGTCGTGCTCCTCATGAGGAGCTAGAGAATGTGAAATCTTGCACAGCTTGTGCGTACTCTAGCAGACCCCCTCCTTTCCGTTCACCTAACGTCTCCTGCCTCTCCCAGCTCGAGCCATCAGAGATCAAACTGACAGCTGGAAAGCTGGAAAGCTGTCAGCAAGGAGGGGCTCGAAGGACATATCTCCAGTTTGACTCCAAGGTAATACGTATCCTACAAAAGCCTCGAGCAACAATATCTTGATGATCTCTGTCTGGGTCGCAGAGTGTTGGACGAGGCAGCAGGTTTGAATGTTCAACAGATAAAACACACGAAAGTATAAAGGGTTCATAAGAGGTTCAGAGGGACACTAACACGGAAGGAAACTCTTCACCCAAAGATCAGATCACAAGACTCACGAGGGGCTGAGGATAATGTCGGAAACTTGGAAATGTTGGAGGCTTTTTCTGCTTTGGGAATCGTGATCTGATTTCGAATTTATTGGAGAAAGTTTGGGGAAAGTCAATTAGAATTTAGATTCATCGACCAGTGACATCAGGCACTACAAAACTATGACTGTAAGACGGCCATATATGCCACTGATCTTCACTTTATGCTGTTGATTTGACCGTGAGGTGAGGATGCAGCTTGAAGTTCACAGAGCCAACCACAGGGGGGCAATAATAAAAAGAAAAGGCTGGAAGCTGCGAATCTTCCGATCACAACGAAATATTAATGCTTCGCTGTCCAAGAAGGATTCTTTCGACAGAGTAAATTTTTGATTCACCATAAGCTCGCTGGACGCCCTCACTCTTTCTCACACAGTAAGAACGATGATCGGCTGTCAAGGTAGAGAGAGATCAGGATCCATTTCATATTCCACATCCTCTCCAAGAGATTACACCTCGCGTCGATTCCAATCAACGGCTGCCTTTGGTGTAAGAACACCGAGCCCCATCTTCACGAATCAGATCCTGAAAGTGTACTGAAATTTAATCGATTATGACAAGAACGACCGAGTCAGGATTTCGTAGATTGGATGATATCATGTGTAAATCTCAACCGTGAGAGAACCATGAGAAGTGTATTTGAAGCTGTTGACTCCAAGCATTTGTTATACGGCTCGAATCTGCTCTTGGAGCTGCGACGGACTGAGCTCGGGAAAGAGAAGCTCTGCTGTGTCCTGAAGAAAAGGGTCCTGGGCTGGAAAGTAATTCCTTTCTTTATATCTGGAGTTTTTGATCAGTCAAATGAGGACTGATCCTGATTTGACTCGTCAGAACTCTGTACCTCCAACTACAAGGACGATCAAGAGATGATTCACGGCTGATGACACAACGAGCTCTGAGAGACTCTTGCAGTTTGTGGTATGGGGGGGCACATGGAGACTTGAAATGTGACCACGCTAGTGCAGAAAGTCGTTACCTCCCAACTTTCGGACCGGCATCAGAAACATGACGAAAGCTCTTGCATACAGTTCCGTTCCATTCCATGCCATCCAAGGCCTTCGTCTAATTGCTTCCAGCTAACTGACACAGCGTGGGCTTGCATGACAGGCCTCACTTCTCTGTATCTCCCTCCACCATCAATCAGCACGGACACAAACTTTTACAAAGCTCCAACACATAAACCCCGTCGTATACAAGCCCTCGCCTCTGCACCAGGCCATGGATATTCACCTCATCCTTGAACCCGTGGTGAAGTACCTGATGTAAAATCATTCAGACCGCTCTCGCATTCAGTTCAGTTCTGTCATTTTTTCCTCACCGGCATCGAATCAAAGCTGGCTCAACTGTGCAACATTCTCTTGTACCACAGCCGAAGAATGAAAATCAGGCCCCGAGATGGGTCAGGGATTGAAACCAGGACCTAATGAGCAGGCAGGCAGGCAGCCATTCATTCATTCAACATTAGAGTCGTGGACTCCCGAAAGACACTGACGTCGTTCTGTACCCCAACATTGTTCGACCTCGTCCCCCAGCCAGAAAACAACTGTAAATTATGTAAAGCTCAGGCATTCACAGGCTAGCAGGAATCCAGCCCGCCCGCCGCTTCACGTACTCTCGGCGAGAACAAATGTGAAAGCTCCCTACCTCTCAAAGGTACCTTTGCAGCAGCAGCAGCACTAGCGGCAGGGGGGAGGGAAGTGGAACGGAAGTGGTGCTGACAGTCGATAACGCAAACGCCCTGTCAGTGTGGACGACTGCCCTGCCCAGAGCAGCAGACGCAGCGCAGGCAGGCACGCAAGCAGGACACCATCACCTGTAGTTCATGGGCTCTGGAGCCTGGACGAGAAGCGGTCATCGAGGAGGTGGCAGCTGCAGCTTTGGAGAGATTGCACACGACCAATGGAGCTCGGCTGGGTTCATGATCTTACACAAGCCACATTCGAGCCTGCGGCCGCTGCAGGGCTTCTCTGCTGCGGGAAAGCGCTCACAGCCGCAGCTTTTGCTGCCCGTACAGATTGCTCTTTCATGATCTTCGACCGGAAATTATTGGCGACGCAGGAGATCGATGTATGTCAGCGCCGATTCGTTGTGGATTCATCGGGGCACCGTGATTCTTCACGTGTCCGCACTGGCCGTCGCGGTGATGATGCATGGCGTGCAGGACTGCAGCTTCCAGTCGGCAGCTCGGCCCTTCTACTGCAGCAGCGCCTGTGGCCGTCGTCGTCGTCGTCGCGGTCAGCTGACCGAGCTACTACGTCGTAGTGAGTGCCAGGGCGCGGGGGACATCGTCCGCTGTCGTCCCGCCTCTCGGGAGATGAGGTCAGCTGTAAAGTGGGGGCCGCATCGAGATCGTGTCCCATGCACGAAAAGAACGATGCCCACTATTTCGGCGAGTTCGATCACCGAATTCTCCTCGTCCTCGGCCACAGCGTTTTCGATCACTGGCTCAAATCTTCATCTCGATCGTGCCCCCGCGCACAGTCCCCTCGGGAAACTTTGCACTTTATCGTCCAACACCAGAACACGCTTGAACACCACCCGCTCTTATTACCCGTCGCCGCCCCGGCCGCCTGAAGTCGCTGAAGGCAGCGGGAGCTCGAAGGCACAGGGGAGGGCTACCAAGGACTGGTCCGAACTTGTGTTCACCTCGAACATATTTTGTAGTTTAAGAAATTCGGTAGAAAAACGATTATCGAGTTTTTTTTTTCATTGGGAAGCTCGTCCGCATACCTGCCTGTCAAACTCAGTTAGCTCTAAATATTACGACATTATCTCATATGTGATGCCAAGGATCTAGACTCGTTTTGGTGATGACTCCTGGATTATGATCCTACTGCATGTAGAACAATTCGCCTACACAATTCGGATATGTTATGCGCAGTGTGACTTGCATGCCATCGTGATGCTATTGAGGCCGAGCACATCTTCCCGATTCGAATTCATCCATGTAGCACATGACGGGCCTTCCCGTCCTTATTGCTGTATTCTCCTCCACTCCTCGATGGTAAGAGATTTTGGTATAAAACTCAGCGTTTGTTAAGGTTTTAGATGCCGATCAATCAATTACACATCTTTCGTAGTCAGTCGGTTCACCGAGAAACCTTCCAGCCGTCCGTCCGTCAGTTTTGTTGAATTTTATCGAGGCATGTTCGGGCCCGCAGCTGTAGTCTCCCTGCAGACTTTTCACTCTCAATTTTATCTTCTCGTCGGCCTCTCTCGGCACCCGCCCCATCACCACCACAACCCCCAGCATTACCTCTGCAGTGGGGGCAGGCAACGGGTCGCGCGGTCCGAACTGTTGTTTGATTACTACTTTTTCTGTGGTGGATCGAGATTTGGGTTTGAACCAAGTGGCCTGCTGTATTTCCCGGAAATTGTACGTCATGCCGTCTGGTCAAAGTGCATGCATGCGCAAGGCATCTAGAAGAGAGACCGAGCTGGAGATGCAGAAAAATGCCGAGAAGATATTTCTCATTGAGCTTTCTTCTTACTTTGTGCACAGACAAAAAAGGCCGAGGATATATCTTCAGCCTTTTGATCATAGATATGAACAAAAATTTTAAACACATGTCGGCCACAAAGGTGAAAGAAACCTTCCACTTTCAAAAAGCTTACGAGATCTTTGATTAAAGTTCTGTTCTGTTAATGTAAATAAAATATTGATTATATTTCATTCATTTATGCATAAAAATATATGAATATATATCTAGAAAAATATTCCCTTAAAATTTATTATATGCTAAATAATATGTATAGAGATCATCTTTATTCCCTGAAAAGATAATTAATGATTAAATGAAAGGCCGAATTATGAAAGATTCTCAACATGCATTCCGCTTGTTTGATACTTCGTCTCTTCTTGCAGGGCCATCATTCCTATGTGTATATAAGCGTGTGACCACCGAGCCGCTGGCGCCAACTGCGGGTCCAGCGATCGCATGAAATCTACTGTGAATTCCAAATCTGAATTATCTAATCTCTTCAGCTTCTGCTCGGCAGTGTGATGATTAGCATATCTGAGGCTCGACGGAATGACGAGCGGATTGGAGCGGGGTTGTCTGCGTGAACAGGACATCACCCTAATCATGTCAAAACCAGGCTTATGATGAAACCTTATCGGCATCGATAATGGTGGAGCTTATCAGGAATATTATTACGAGTAAATGAAATTGATTAATTGGTGAATAATGGGATTGAAAAGCTAGTTGGACTAGCTGCTTGCAGTTCTAATACTGAACGATCAAGGGGTGAGAAGAAACCCTGAGGGCTAGATCCCTGAGGTGGTTAAATTAGGGGAAAAAATAAGAAGAAAAAGGTGAAGATTCTTTTCTGTATTGCTGGTTTCTCTCTTGTCACGTTATGCCTTGGGACCAGGAAATGTGATGGTCACGCTTTGATAGAGGATGCGAAGATATTCGCTTGCCCCTTCGACAGCCTCTTTGAAGGAAGAGATTGTTACTGTCATTACACACTTTTTATCTACCATAACTCCTTGCTCCCTCGGTTTCCTTTCGTCCAAAAATTTCCTTTCTTTGTTCGTCATGGTTAGAACTAAGCTTTCATGTTGTTGTTGGTATAGGCGTACAATCTATTACTCCATAGCTTGTTGACGTTTAATCTTTTTCATGACTTCTTCCAAGGTTTAAACTCCTCATACAATTTGGACAACCATAAGTTTCCGACATCGTTTTATTTCCTTTTATCTCATTTTGGCCTCCAAAAGATGAGAGCTTTCAAGTCGTGATGGATTATTTTCAGCCATGTCAGACATCCAACTCTACTTCATCAATCGAAACGAATATTACATTTTTTCTCCAGAAAATGAAGTACTGGAAAGTTCATGAGTTAAAACTTATCTTGATTTTGAACTAGACGACTTTGCACTTAATACAAGAGTTAGAAGCATCTCAATTACTGTTTGTGATGGATCAAATAATAATAAAAATAAAAATAATAGTAAAGACTTATTCTTTTTCATCATGACAATATTTTCAAATAATTTTCATCGTAACCTTTCGATACTTTTAAAGATGCTGTTAAAAATGTTATAATTTTTTCATCTATCAGATCAATCATCTTAGTTAAATAAATCCAGATCTTTCAGATTAGTTACTCAAATGATGAATTTAAAACTACTTTATATGCAATATCAATATATATATATATATATATATGATTGGTTTACCACCCGAAACACAAACAACTAAACATGATGACAACTTTAATGGTTTGTTTGTATGACAAACTATTGATGATCTCCCTTCATGATCATTTACCTGCCATGTAATTGTGTTCATATAAAGAATATCTAGTATATTCAAGACTAATTGGTTATACATGTAATAACTAACATACATGACATAGTTTCAAATGGTCAGGCTGCTTCCAATTAACCGTTAAAACAAAAACTAATAGGATTCTAAATTTGTGATATGCATAGAATATGCTGATTTGACATGTTTGCAACAAACTTGGTGAAAGCTCATCAAACTAGAATTAACATCATATAATGATTTTTTTAGATGTTAAGTGTAGATTGTAAATATTTTATTAAATTATAACAAATCAGTTAAATTCATAAAACATGAATCAATTGTTAGACGATTATTTTGTAATGGGTAAGTTTTTTTAGATTGTTTGATCTAGATGTGTGCAAAAACTCAGGTGTGTTACAACAGGTTGTTCGCTGTAATGTTAATGCATAAAACAATGGCCATTTTTTGTTTGATTTCATAATTTATGATCCAATGGGGGCTTTCCACCCTTTTTTATTGATTATTAATAGAATATTGAATTTTTTATCTCTTGAAAAACTCAAGAAATACAAAAAAAATGTTGGTCTAAAACTATCAAGATAGTCGAAGAATGTAAATATAGAAATTAAGTCACGTGAAGTCAAGGAAATGAAAAAGTATATGCTATCCTATAAGCAAGTCTTGTTTTCCCCTTTGCTTCTCAGTATTTCATGCCAGCAAATAAGAAATCATAAATAAAATTTTGAGTGACAGATATTGATCACTTACAAGGACGATGTTAAAACTTATTCTTGTGTATAAATATATATTGCTCATTGAAGCTTAATACCATAATATGTTTGAAAATACATAAAACATGCGACAGAAGAAAGTGTGATTCCTGTGCATATTAATGGGAAAGTCTGCGGGAATCAAATAAATGGATGTGACACGAGTCACATGTTTTACGCAGCCTAATATATTCCATACCACTTCCAATTTGAACCCCTTCTTATATCCAATTACAGTAAACAATAAGATCGACGCTTGTAACAACTTTTTTTTTTGGGTGCGTTAAGGAACTCTCTCACATGAAAATTTACAACAGTTCCCAGGTCACCATGCATCTCAAGAAAACAATGACCTCATGCAAAACTCTATGATTCCAGAACGTATCACTGGTGCTCCTTGTTGTGAACAGAGGTTATAGTAACAAGCGTGTGCTATTGTGAACGGATATAGGAATGGCGCGTTGTTGAAAATGGGATGTAATACAGTTAGGTGAGTAAAAAGGTCATGTTTAACATATCCGATATTTGAGATATTACATTTAATGTAAGTTTTGTAATATGACACCGATTGTGAACGGATATAGGAATGGCGCGTTTTGAAAATGGGATGTAATACAGTTAGGTGAGTAAAAAGGTCAAGTTTAACATATCCGATATTTGAGATATTACATTTAATGCAAGTTTTGTAATATGACACCGATTCTTGCATTTGTTGAATTGAAATAGGAAATTGCAATGATTAGTTTGCACCTTGGTTTATCTCAGGTGTAGATACAGACTCAAATTTCTTAAGGCTCGATTGGGTTTTATATAATATTATATTACAATGAATGGACGATTATTGATTTACAAAGTAGGTAGACCTTCAACGCAACATCATGCGAGTTTTAACTTCATACTTTTGAGTGATATTGGATTTTAGGCATGCTGTGAGTGTACAGTATGAATCATGAGCCATACCAGGTAGACATCGAAATCTTTTTCAATAAATCTTGTGCTCTTTATAAGGTAGATTTACAATTGTTTAGGAAAACACGGTAACAGTACTAAATTTGTTCTTCTTTTACTCAAAATTACCTCAATTTTTTATCACATGCGAGAAGAGGATCTGAACCTTTGGTAACCCATATTGATTTTGATCATGAAATGATGTATTTCCTATTTTGAAATCATGATTCATCAAAGCATGAGCTACTTTCAAATCTGCCTAGACTGTAAATAATGAAAAAAGTTCACACTGGATGAGAATGAAGTTTTTTTTTTGTTCAATATAAATCTGCTTTCCAGAATTGTACCTGCGTGACTTTTTTAACTTATCACATCTAAAACTGATAAACCAATAAGATATGAAAATCAGGCACTTTCCAGTCCAAACATTTTCCCTCTACAAGTGGTCTGCACCTGGCAACGGATAGGAGAGGCTGGGGCAAAATGTTTGAAATTATTCTCAGCAGAAAGTAGCTTTTAGGAATGCTGCTAGTATCCAGGTACCGCAATATGACTAACACCGAATGTCGCCCACTGGTCCATAGGTTAGTAAAGAAACCTAGCCCGCGAAACACAGCACAAACCCGCAGAACGAACGTGATCATGTTCTCTGCTGGATAAGAGGCAACCGGGAATGACCGGTAAGTTACACACGGGATAATTATCCGTTGGAGATCGAGTCGGAGTGTTCGGATGATTCCCTGCGTTGGTTACAGCACTGTACCGAAATTCTCCCCTACAATATAAAGTACGGCTACCAAGTCAAGCACCTACCCTGCGATCCACTGGGCTGTATATGTCTCCGTCTTTACTACGGTCCCAGCCCTACTCCGTCATGCTATTCCGAATCGCGAAACGAGGATGCTCTCGTCTCACGGCATATCCATCCCTTTTGCTAGCGGGGAGACGTGGTAGATTGCTTTTTGCTGGACTACTTGGTGTCATCTCATCGCACTTTGACTTCGTCGACATTCCGCTTCCCAAGACCCGATGCCGTAGAGCGAGTAGGCAAACAGGAGTAGGTCTCGCGCACTTGCCCTCGACGACCATTTGACTCTAGTGACCATACGAATGACAGACTTTCAGCTGCACGGGTACACGCGTCGGCCGATTTGACGTCGAAGATCGGAAGAACGCTCATGCAAGTCCGCACCTCCGCTCGCTAACCGTCGAGTGTTACTGTGGTTCGTCGATGAGACTGCGACTGCTTTTCGCGATCAGGATGACGGGGAGAGGTGGAGTTCTTCCAAGTCAGCCCGAGTTCGCCAAGTGGACCGATGACGCAGGCGAGTTAGCGGGTCCGTCCACTGATCGGTCTCGCGGACGTTTTGCCGAGGCGGGGAGTCGGGAGTGATGAGATTGAGATGGAGCGTCGTCGTTCGGCTGGCAGAGTTTGTCACGGGAATCCGAGGACCACGATAATTTTCCGGGGGGCCAAAATTAATGCGTTTAATTATATACACAAGCGTAGAAAGTAAGGCACTCGAACTGGGTCGGACCGCCTTCCATTCACTCACTCCCTTCTGTCCGGTTTCCTTTGCTCGGGTGGCCCACCCGAGGGTCGGTTAAGTCAAGCCCCGCGCGCTGGGCCCTGCGATGCACTTCGATCGACGGACGAACGCAGCGAGAATCTCCTGGGACTTTACCCACTCGATTCAGGGCGGTCTAGTGCCTCGGAGAAAAGCGCTCCCCTGCGACAGTCAGCCGTCTTAATTGAGAAAAATACAAAGGGCCGAAATACCAAATTCGTGAGGGGGTCTCGACACCTTGTGTCACGATGGAATACACAGGACAATTGATGGAGGAATATGCTGCGGTGCAGGTGGCCGCGCTGTGGGCCGTCGATGGTGATCCAGATGCCGATGATGATGGTTAATGATGCAGCTGCTGTAGGCAGATAACCCGAGGCGAGGTGAGGTGAGGTGAAGCCAGGGTGAGGTGCGTTCGTGCGAGCGTGGCCTCGCGCAGCGACCCGGTGCGGACTTCAACTGCGGTTATCGTTGCCAGGGAGATCGGATCACATCGCACCACCACCACCACCGCCGGACCACTTCAGACATTTACGGCACGTACGGAAACTCGGTTGCCTCTGCAGTGCAGTCGTTCTACTCCTCCTCTACGGATCGACAGTCGACTGACTCGGACTGATGGTCACAGATCCTCTGACCGACCCCCTGCCCGCCCGACTGATCGTCTGACCGCGCTGCAGAGGGTGGGGAGCAGTCTTACTAATGTCACCGTCACCGGGAGCAACGAGGGACGGCAGAGGGCCAGGCCAAACCGCGTTCGTCCGTGCCTGCGCTCGATGTTCGTGGAGCCGGGACCTGGTAAACGCTGCCCCGACCTCAGCCCGCCGTGCCCGGCCGGCTGCAACTTCCGGCCACGGAGACGAGGAAAAAACAAACTAGACGACCGCTGTGCCTCTCCCCCGGCGCGACGCCCAGCGGGGAGAAGGCAAGCCAAGCGGCCGCGAGCCAGTGCCCGCAACGGTCGATTGTCGGTCTCCGACGCAGAGAGAGCAGGACGACGACTGGCAGTCAAGCCGGGACGGTCGGTCTCTGGGAGCGTGCGAGCAGGGGCGCGGGGGCGCGGGGGCAGGAGCCGAGGACCGGGATCGAGACAGAGAGAGAGAGAGAAGGAGCGAGAAGAGCCTTCCGGGGCTAGAGGAGGAGCGGGGCGAGAGAGGGGGCCGATGAGCGAGAGCAGGAGCTCGAGCAAACGCTCTTCCGCGGGGGCTGCCGCTGCTGCTCTTCGACTTCGACGACTGTCCTTCTGGCGCGCGGGCGCGAAAGCGAGCAAATTTGGCTGCAGCATTATTTTTCCTACTCTCGAGGAAGAGCAAGGAGGAGGAGGGGGAGGAGGAGTTGAACGAGCTTCGGTGGTAGATAAGCCAGATCATGCAAGGTCTTGAAGTCGGAGGAGGAGGAGGAGGAGGTGGTGGTGGTGGAGCTGCTGCTGCTGGTCGAGAGTCGGGCTTCTTTGGGTTTTGCAAATTGAGTGGATTGGAGGTGGATTTGGCGTGGTTCGCGAGTTATTCTCGCTGTCTGGGGGGAAGTGCAGATCAGCCGCGCGGAGCGCAGGATTGGACTTCTTCGTCGTCGTTGGTCGCGGAGATGGTGATGAAGGCGATGATCTCCGAGCGCGTTAGAGGATGGGAGCTTTAAAATGTCTGAGGATCGATGGTAGGGCTAGAGTGAGCATTTGATACGGGATGAGAGGTGCGCAAGGATGACGGTGGAGGATAGGTGGCGATTTCGCTCCAGCTTAGATTGTGGAGGAGTCTCTCCTGTTCTGCCCTCGGGACCGCTGCAGACTCTTACTACGATCGACTTGAGGATTGAAGTGTCTTTCTTTTTGATGTAGTGAGTGCGTCCTGCTCTCACTTCCTCTCGGCCTTGCACCATCTTTGCCTGTCGAGAGAAATTGATGAGAGTCGCAAGTTCTCCCGAAACAATTATCGCGATCCTGCTCTTGGATGGAAATTGGTGACGAGTCTGGAAGCAAGTCCGCCTTCGAGGAGCGTGGTCCCCGAAGTTCTTGTGTAACACAACCCCTCGAGAAATGCCGGACTTCACAAAACGACAGTTTACTCCCCCGGCACAATCCTGTCGGACCACGCTGATATTAGCCCAAATCTTAAACCTTCGAACCTGGCAAATTTGTGTTTGTAAGATCCCGCAGTGCACGACCTCGAAGGGAGTGCACTAGACTCTGTCTCAAGCACGCTGCCTAGTCTCCACACAGTAGATCAGTTCGAAAGCCCAGCGTTTTTCAACAATGTGACGCTTTTTGGAGCTTGTAAACTGTCATAATCAAGGAATTCCAGATGCCGTGACGATGTAGTAGTCTCGCCGAGGAGCAAGTCGCTTTTGAGAATAGCGGAGTCTGAGTGAAGACTTTACTCATTTTGCCTTCACCTTTAGCGCTTGTCCGAGATAATCTTTGCACTGGATTGTCTCTCCGAGCTGCGCAACCCACCTTTGACCCATGAGGTCAGCAATGTTGATTGTGTAGAATTAATTTGACAATCAGATGTTGCTATCGTCTTAATCTATCGACCTCTCTCTGCTGATGAGTAAGTGTTCTTGCTGGAGACACAGCTCGTTAGGATTCAAGGAAAAACCACTGAGTTTCTTGTTGTAATGATAGCTCTTTCTGAAGTTACGGTTACCCTTAGGTCGCTTCTTCAGAGTAAGTAATCTAATTGGAAATTAGACGCGGCTCTCTTGTCCTTGAGTATTTGCACTTCTGGATTTCTTTCCCCTGTAAACACGGACCTCGAATTGTGTGCAGCAGGATGGAGGACTCTAAAACATGACCTTTCTCCTGTTTCAGAATCTTATCTGCCTATCAGAATAAGGTTCTAAGAGATGTAGAGCTCTAGCCATCACCTCTGCTACGAGGTCTCCACGAAGGAAGTCGACTCCTAGTCAAAACTACGAGTGATAAGTGGAGCCTTAGTTTCAAACGCAACTTGATGCTTGTTACAACGTCTTGATAAGTCGACGTTTGTTTGCTCCTAGAATGGATGAGCTTTGTATCTCTGCATTGAGTTTTTCCGGTTTACCGAATCATTTGATGCCATGCACCTGTTGGCCAAAGCTTATGTCTTTTTGAAAAAAGAAAGGCGAATTAAATGTTACCAATGAGAGCATTGTTATGATTACAATTTGCCCTTCCGATTAGCATGCTTGCCCTCAAAATGCAGATATAATATCTTCATTTTCTCGTTGTGAACCTTTGCTTGTGAGTTACCAAGTATGCTCCTAAGGAGCTCACTGTTGCCATTTCGATATTGTGTTCTATGTGCTTCCGAGTAACTGATCTTTGAAAGGTTTCTGCAGATGATGGCAGGTAGAGAGCTGTCACGGATTTTGAAAGACACAACACCATCGAATAGCACCACAACTGCCAAGGAGGACAACCAACTCTCCACCGGAGTGATTATTGGCATTTCTATAGGAGTATTCGTTGGAGTGCTTCTAGCTGTCTGTGTATTATTGTGCTGTCGATGGAAAAAGAAAACGAGCAAAGATGGCAGTGAGCGCAGAGGACTATCACTACCTATCAGGGTGAATGGCGTCAATTCTAGCACTATACTGTCTGACTCTAACCTGGGGAAAGAATCACCTTCTACCGGACACTATGCAAATACTCTATTTTCGTCATGGTTCGGCAGCAGCGAGAGGTTTCTTGCAAGCTCCGGAGTAACGAAGTTCAGCTACGGGTGAGTGCTGACGGCGAGGGTCGGCCCCATGGGTTATTTTGTGTTAAAGATTATTTCCAAAGGTTTCATGGCTTTGTCAACAATATAGTTCAACTTTCCTCTCCTTTCGTGGAGTCATTCTGGATGTGATTTCAGCATGACCGTAGCTTATTCTCATGCTTTTCAACTGCAGAGAGCTCAAGAAGGCAACGAATAACTTTACAGCCTTGCTGGGCCAGGGTGCCTTCGGCCCTGTGTATAAAGCTATACTGCAACCATCAGCCACAACATTGGCCGTGAAAGTCCTTTCAAGCTACTCGAAGCAAGGCGAGAAAGAATTTCAAACAGAGGTAGCTGACCTTATAAATAACTCTTATCCTGGCCATTCTGCAACTGTTTTGTGCTCCCACTTTCGCTATCCGAAATATCTTTCTGCATGATTACGATCATATGACAAGGTAAACCTCTTTAAAGCTCACATATCTGTGAGAACACCCTAAACAGCAATGATTGGGTTGCTTGGACGGGGATGTCCGGGAGTAGTATAGTGCAGAGATTACTCAACAGTGAACTTGAGCTAAAGTTAAGAATGAAAGAAGACTGAAGTTGGAGAATCCCATTGTTTTCGAAATAGCATCCCAGATTCTCATCATGTTCTTAGAGCGTAGAATTCTCAAGCAAGCTCAGTCACTGCAATTCGTGTGAGGTACCTGGAGTGTTACTTCAGTTGTCCTTATTATGTGGAGGAATGCCAGTTGTGTTTAGAAACTCTATGAATCTAACCAATTTGTTAAGAGCGTTTCGTCCTTTTCTTTTATACGAGAGTGATCTATAGGACACTCATTGTGCCAATCTAGTCACTTGTAGCATTTGCTATGGAAGAAGTATTGTTATGAAGATTTTGGGTTTTTCTATTTTCTCATTGTCCACAGAATTTCGAGGTTTCATTGAGAAAGGGTTTCCTGTACTATGTTAAAAGTTTGAGTATATATTTTTTTGACGAGTTCAACTCGTGTTCTTGGATGCGTTAGGTTATGCTCTTGGGGAGGCTACATCATCGAAATCTAGTTAATCTAGTTGGATATTGTGCCGAACGAGGACAACGAATGCTGGTCTACGAGTTCATGACCAATGGCAGCTTAGCTGGCTGGCTCTATGGTATGTTTGTCTGTTTGTTTCTTGAGCCCTTTATTATTCGAGAGGTGGTAACTTTTGAATCCAACCACTAGAGGAATTAATAATCCTTGCGAAAACTGTTCTTTAGCGTGCTGCTGTGGAGGATTTTTATTTGTTTGAGGACAGGATTTTTTGTTTGTTTGTTACAGTTTACTGTGTAGTTCTCTTATGGCTACTGTCTGCAACTTTTCCTGAGGAGTCTATGGGAATTTCCGATCCACATCTTCATCAGAATTATTGGTGATTGGGGCCATTACGTGGAAATTTTGGATATTTTGTGGGTGTCGAAGATTAGTCCTAGTTCGTTATCATGACCATTTGCTTCGAAATAGCTCTATGTTAGTTTGAAACCCGGAGGTCGAGAGTATGTAAATTGTGTGAGGTACGGTACAGTGAAGACGTGAATTACTTGGTATATGTCCCGTATTCAGATATTTTCAACGAAAGCCGTGTTGCGGTTGCTTAACTTTTAGATTCTGGCTACGCCGCAGATCAAACTGGAGAGCCATTGAGCTGGGAAAATAGAGTTCGCATAGCTCAAGACGTCTCAAGAGGCTTGGAGTATCTTCACGAAGGGGTATGCTAATTGCTATATTTCTGTTTTGGATGGTCTCGAAGTTCACTACAGGACACTTTCACTGGAAATCTTTCTTACTTTGCATCGCATAGTCTGTTCAATTTCGTGTCAAAACATTATGTTGCTTGCCTGTGAGCTTGTGTTCGTGTGTGCAATTTGGTCGACTGCATCCGTCGTAATTGCTCCTTCAAAAAATTCAAAAAATACTAAATCAGCATGTATTGCTTGTTCAAGAGCAGTACATGCTGATTTAGTATTTTTTTGGATTCCGAATTAACGGGCGTGAGGTGCAATTTATCATCTGCCGTGCATAACGGATATTATCTGTACTTTTAAAGGCGAATTGCTATTGACCTAATATGTTTTCTCACGCATGATCTGGCTGCTGCAGGCTGTCCCACCTGTTATCCATCGTGACATAAAATCGGCGAATATTCTTCTAGATGTATCAATGACAGCCAGGGTACGTTGTGGTGGGTTAGTTCTCAGTTGCAAAAGAGAATTGCCATGATGTCATCTAGTTGAGCCTTCAAACTTCAAAGTTGTTACCAATGTTCCAGTAGTCTCCTTTACATCTCGATGTCATCACCGTGGATAAGAAAAGTTTATCGTGGATGCCTTGTAGGTTGCGGATTTTGGCTTGTCCAAAGAAGCCAGTACACATTCTTTTGTGTCAGGTGTGAAGGGAACTTTCGGCTATGTTGATCCTGAGTATGTGTCCACCAACAACTTTACCGAGAAAAGTGATGTGTATAGCTTTGGAGTTCTTTTATTCGAACTCATAACTGCACGAAATCCACAGCAAGGACTCATGGACTATGTCCACCTGGTACGATATAAATTCCCCCCCCCCCTCACCACTACCTTCGATACTTTTTTGCCCTCCGTTTTTGTGCTTCTGCGCCGGTTAAGCATTCAGATGACCCTTAAGGCACCTATAGGCCTGCAGTTCGATCTACAGATTAACCAAAAACCTTGAGCAATGGCTGCATTTTTTTGTGAGTACACAATCAAGCCATTATGAGAGCTGTTGTCACTAGGTCCTGAATGAATGAAAATTTGTCCTCGTGTATACATTTCGAGTATGCATCTTGTGCGACACCCATGGATCGGAAGTTCTGTTTGGTTAGTTAATGGAACTGAAGTTTTCTAGTATGGCTCTAGGAGTACCAGCGATCATTGTCAACAGCCGTTCATTACCTACTTTACGATGTGTCTGATTATTATACTTCCAAGATGATATACTGTGGAAAGCTGAAGCATGACTAAATTTTCAGCTTAATCTCTCGGTATGTCTCATCTTGCTAGTAAGGAAGACTGATTATCGTCTAACGTGGACCATTTGAACTCGATTGGGTTTTAAAGCTCAATAGTCAACGTTAGACCATATTTATCTTGTCTTGTTGAAAGTGAGTTTGGCTTCTTCTCATTGGAACAGCGTAGAAAGCTCAAACTTTTCAAGACTTCACGATACTAAAATACGGGATTTATTTCACAGGAAGGAGATGGGCTCCCTAAAGAGTACGTCCTGTGTATTCCTGGTACAATGATAGTCAAAAGTCTAAAGCTGTCCAGCACGCAAGTTGTTAGTGGTGCTCCTGATCAAGGGCGGTCATGTTTGTATAGGCCCGGTTGTCTACTTGCACACTACTAACAGGCTAGACAAGCTTGAATATAGTCAATGCTGTAACCTAGTCAGCATTTTCCATGTGGTGTGGGGAAGTCAGAGCCTTCGATATTTCAATTGCTTGTGCTGTGCTCCACGCTCGCGTTGTCACTTGACCAATGCACTCACAGCAGCTCAGTAGGTCTGTTTGAAATATGTTGAGCTAGGAAGCTTCATGCTTCTGCACGATGATCATCATAATTGTCGATGAGTTCAATGACAGTCGCTCAGTGGGCAAGTTTCAGATTTCACGGGAATCAGTATTCCCTTCGTCTAGAGTTAAATTTTTGCTTCAGTATTCAGTAGGGACTTTGTCGATAAGGACCTGTTTAGATAAGAAGTACGTGGGTGGAGCGGCTTTTGTCCATGTGATTTGATTTTTTTTTTTTTTGGGGTATGGTCTCCATGTATAATCAGCGTGATCGCAATACTTCATCAGGACATTCGACAGTAGATATTTGCCATTATGCTCACGCTGAATTCAATCTGATGTGGTCTCTTTGTTTTCATTTTGCAGGCTGCTTTGGGCGTAGAAGGCAAGGAAGGATGGGGTGAGTTACTAGATGTTAGATTAAGTGGGAAGTGTAATCTAGACGATTTGGGTACGATGGCTGCTTTGGCTTACAAATGCGTGCGAAAGCTAGGGAAAAAGCGGCCGAAGATCCGAGATGTTGCGCAGTCTCTCTCGAAGTTAGGTAAGAAGAAGGGAAGCGGGCACAACAGTGGAAAGCACCACCCATCTGACTCACCCCCTGCGTTGGCCCCTGTTACTGAGACCAATCAAGAACAAGTTGAGGTTCCCGCCGGCGAGTGGAGCAAACCTTATCCCCATAGCGATGGGACGTCTCAGGTTGCTCAAACGACCGCCGTCGAGAGCGCGTAAGAAGAGCACAAGAGCACTTGAGTTTTCTTTTCCTCACATATCCAATCAAAGTTTCTCCGGACTTCTTGCGGAGATGAACTTGTAGTCAATCCTGGAAGGCGGTGTCACATCCAGCGTCCACACGGAAATCTTTTTTGCATTCTGTGGACCAACTGTGACGTAGCCAGGTCTGTAGAAGCTTTTTTCAGGATTTGGGTAGATAGTGCTAACAGAGCTGGTTTTGTCAGTGGAAAGTTTTATAATACTCGATGCTTCACAGCTGCGAATGAGATCAAGAGCTTGCTGTGTTGATAGGTTGACCATTCACGACCCACACAACGATTACATCAACAGGTCTCGTGACCTCGAACGTCCATCGGACTTGTTATTCCTAGTGCTTGAATTTTGTGGACAACGCTGGAACGACGAACTGAGTTGTCACAGAGGCCACACACGCTTGTTGGTGCGAAAAGTCGCTTGGACAGTCTCCATTCGAAAAAAGTTTGTAACATTATGAAAAATCACATACTATATTCTTTTTCCTTGCAACCGGAAAGACCTGCCTTTCAGTTGCTCATACAGAAGTGTAAATTCTGACGTGAGAAATGTCTACTGGATGGTGATGTTAATAGTGAAATATATGTTTTAATTACTGAGGACTGCCCTCTGTGAGCTTCCTGGCTACTTGGCTTTTTGCACCTTCAACTCACTGGATCTGGACGAACTCAGAACAATGTCTTTTGCTTCATATCTGTCATCTTATGGAGCGATGGGCAATTGTCTATGGCACTGTGGAGGGCATGCTTGGGAAGAGTCTACTGCATACTGCAGTTTTGTGATGGCCAGATGTCTGAAGATGGTGAAGTTTAATACCTTATGTTGAAAGGTTCGATAGAGTGTAGATCTGTCCCGGTTTTGGTTTCGATTATTGTTTTTCAGAGAATATTTCGTAGGGAAACGTGAGCCTTGTGGTTGCCACCTGGCTCAAGAAGAGCTCAGATGGTACCAACTCCATTGAAGGTGGAGAGGATGTCCTCTGACGCTGTGAGTCCGAGTAGTCCCATTGGGCACTGGGAAGTCAACTTTCCTTATACGGAAGCATGTGCTTCTGGTTTGATGGTCGAGACTCCACGTCAACATCATTGTCGACATTCTTGTCTTAGATGCTACTAGTTAATCCGTGCTGCTTGTAAAGGTTCTGAGTACGTACTTGCAGCGGCAGAATTTGACCTCTCGTATTTTAAAATCTGTCGATTTGTACTATTTTCCAGCTGCCCTGTTGATCTTTGTGGCTATGTATCGGTTTCTAGGCTTGATCATTACTGCCACCAACCGCATTATAAAAGTGCGGGAAAAGAATCAATATGTTATGTCTTGAGGAAGAAACCACACCTTATCATCCAGGAGTACGTAGTCTCAGAGACTCAGCGAGTACTTTGTATCATGTCCGAGCCCTGTACCAGGTTTTTTTGCTGTAATATTTTCCATGTTCATCCTTTGAGAAGTGAGGACTCAAGATTTTTGGAAGTGGATAGTTGATACTCGGTGTAATTGGGAAAGACATAAATGTCAACCAGTAAACGTACGAATGAAAGAAACTAACCGAAGTTGGTTATATTTTTTCTTCAGAAACTTATAGATGCAATTTTACTGATGATGTACAAATAGGAAACAGCACCATAGTGTGTTTGTACAAGAGACTCGGACAAACATTTTCTTCTCGAATGGGGAAATAACTAGAGGTTCAAACGCATCCTGTGGGCGGTGACTTTGAGTCCGCTGTGAACGAAGGGCTTGACCTACCCTCTTGGAAAAGGATGAAGAATGCCAACATTACTTAAGTTGGGTTAGTGTTATGATGATGGTGGGAACTAAGTCTAATCAGGAGCATTTCCTATGGCTTTTTAGCTATCATCTGTTCAAGATTCATGGGAGAAACGAACAGGCCGCTTCCCTTGATGATGTTCGAGGACAATATATCGTACGTCCTCTCGGTGGGATGGAACAGATCCCAGAACACGTAATCATCAGCATTGTCGCACACATCGCTGATGGGGTTGACACACGGCAGGCCCTTGAATGGACCTTCACCGCAGCAAGCCGTGTTGCCGAACTTGAAGCCTGCACTCACAAAACATGAAGCCAGGGCGTTGAACATCAACTGCTCTCCTCATGCGCACAACAATTTACGGTTCGTGGAACTAATGCTTTCAGTCTCTCAGACTCAGTGTTTTGATGGAAAGCTGTTTGCAATCAAATATGGCCCTAGCGGGACTGGGGCGGACGAGACGAGGATTGCACGGGTCGGGCACGTACCGAGCTTTTCTGGCTGCGTGATGGCTTCGAGAAGGGGGTCGTAAACGTTCACGTACGAGAGATCATAATCTGGTCTCTGTTGGCGGATACTGGCCAAGGTCGCTTGGAGGCCCACGTTGAAGCTCTTGACTGGCACGTTCACCTTCTCGATGCAGCTCCCGTCCTTGCTGCCTGCGAGAACCAGTTGCTCGGGCACGCAGCCCAGAGGCGATAGAGAATCGATGAATACTCTTCGTGCTCCATAATCGTACAGGGTCTGCGAGCAATTGTTGAGAATGATTCGATGTCAGCTAACTCCGTCCACTGACTTACTTTCTATTCCAGACAACGAATGATGTGTTTCTCTAGAGATGATTGGAAGCCTATTGCAAGCTTGCTAGATCCATATGAGAGTGAGTGGGTGACTGACTGGGGCTCACCTTAAGGTTGGTGTCGATGGTGCCCAAGAGCAGCGTTTCGTAGGCTGCGGGAGTGAATTTCGCTTGGAGAATCGGGTTCAAGTTGTAGCTGTTGACGAAATCATTGCTTCCTGTGCTGATAAGGTAGATGGATTCACGGAGCAGCTTGTCGGTGCTTTCCTCGCCAATCTGTGAGATGATTTCCTTCTTCACTATTCCGAAATTGTCCAGCTGCCGGGTCAAATTCAGGACGCCCTGATAACAAAAACAACAGGCGGCCAGAAATGTCCTCTATCGTTAGTGCCCAAGTCCTTTCAGCTGCAGGACACTCCAGCCCAGTCCACTCGAATTCAGAGCGCAATTCAGGAAAACGTACGAGAAGGACGACGTTTGGACATTCATGTCAATGAGCAAGTGACTGACTACTCGAATGAGGGCAACGAGCATAATACTCTTAAAATGTATACACTTTAAGGCTCGAACAGTTGTTCGTGGGACGTACAAAGAGAGCTCCGGTGATGTCCAGGTATCCTGACCCAGAGGAGGCGAAGTTTACTCCAGTCAGCACCCTGCTTCCTTTCGCTTCAGGTGCTAGGTAGTTCACAGGGCGAGGAATCTCCAGAAAGTCGGCTGCATTGCATTACACGATGACCAAATCGCCGACGAATAAAGCCACTTGTTAGACCCAGTCCTCGTGACCACGAATGATTGTCATACACACACGGGCACACACAGCCATATTTGGCACGGCGTTGCAGAGCATGCAGTACAGTATCAAATCGATGTGGCTTTTTAGATGGACGCTTTTTAAATGAGATTGAGCTAGATCATTGCAGGGAAGAGATGGATGGTAGAATAATGAAGCGGGGTTGCAAAGTTTGCTGCGAGGGGAGAGAGCGTGGAGTCTATGGAGGCCGAACGGGGAGGGAAACAGAACGAAGCGAAATGGAAGCTCAACGAGGAAACGCGCGTACCCAAAAAGTCGTTGGCGACTTTGCCATTGCAGAATCGTCCAGTGGGGCCTGGGGGATTGAAGTCCTTGCCATAGGGAGGGTAGTTGGACTTGATCACAGAGGTGATGTAGTTTTGATTTCCTGTATCCACCGTTGAATCTCCGAACACGAACAATGCAGGAATTCCCTTGCCTGCTGCCTCGGCGCAGCCGCTCAGCAATGCTGCCACTGTCAGCAGCACCAACACTCCCACCGATCCCACTCTCGCCTCCATCTTGAGCCGCTGACGAACCTGCATTGCAAACAAACTCCCTATCAACACTCACTCTCAGACTTCACCTCTCCCGACCACCCTCTCACTCACACAAAGGACCGAACATGGATTGCAAACATTGAATGTTTCTCTATTTGTAGGTGCAGGCCAAGTCAAGGACCATCAATGCCAGCTGCTCTCGGCCAGCGTTCCCAACAGATGGATTAATGCATGCACGCATTCTTCATGAACACCGCTGGAGTTTGAATGCTATCAATCTCCTGCACTGTGTTGCCTGCAATGTGGATGTCTCCATCGCGGCAAGGGAGCCATTAGACAGATTAAGATTAAGACTGTAACCCCCATGCATGTGAGGGCGGCATGAAGAATATTTCTCAATTGCTGACAAGTGTTTGAGAATGCAGCATTCAAATGATGCAGCAGCAGCAGCAAGTACGTGACTATTCGAACACATAGGAGCTCAGATGAACCAGGTACAGAGGTGAACGTCCTGGAGACAATGGCATGGCATCAAGTGGCACCCGTGTCTCTCTCGTTGTTCGAGACATTCGTTCTAGAGCAGAGGAAAAGGAAGGAAGATCAGACAAAGTGGTGTAACAGCTGTGCACCAAAGGAACACTTTCAGATAGAATGAATGCTCGTGAATATAGCAAGTCCTCGCCCACGCAGAGAAGGGTATACGAACGACAGAAAGACAAGAACAAAGCCACATGCACATACGACGTGCCTAGAGACAAAGTGGTCTGGGCACGGTCAACGACGGTCCACAACGACGAGAATTTCGTGTTTACGTTTTTGTCACGAGGACTCGGTCATAGCACAAGGATCGACCCACTTTTCACATTCAGACGGGCAGAGGCGGGGGTGGTAGAGCTAGAGATGGTTCTGTTTACCTTCAGCAGACCGACTCTGAGCTGATATCAGACGAGATGCTGGCTCTCTGTGTCTCGTTCTCTCTCTCTGTGGCTCTCTCGCTTGCTCTGTCTCAGCTCGAGTCAAGTCGCTCCAGGACCTGCAGGCTCCGATGGCTGGCTGGGTGGGCCGGTCTGTCTGTCTACTACAAGTTTGGATGTGACAACTTAAATCATGTGGGCTTTTGATGTTGGGAGGCGGGAGGAGGGGGAGAGGGGAACTTTTTGACTCGGACTCGTTTCCAGCACTCCCAGCGCCGAGAGTCTAGGAAAGGCCTGGGGCTCTGTTGTTGGAGCTCTCACAACCATCAACCCCACCACCACCACCGGCAGCACCAGATTCATCTACCTCGCTAACGTCTAGGCTCAGATTCACTAGACCTCTGTCTTAATCGAGCCAGGATGAAGTGAATGAAGGTCAGGATGGGGGATGCCATGGCATGACAGCCCCAGACCTCCGTGTCCCCCTCCGTGTCCTCCTCGACCCCCACGGACGCGGGACGGTAAAGGCAAAGGCGTAAATCTAGTCCTCAAATCCTCTTCCATTTGCCGTAAGCACTTCTCTCCCCTCTCCTGTCCACTGTGGCCTAGCAGCCCAGCCATCTCTTAGCCAAGGAGAGCCTAGTCTCCCAGTCACTCCCTCTCTCACTCAGTCTGGGACTGCTAAGCCATGGCTCCGAAGGCAATTATGAGCTAGGCTGAGGTTTAAAGACGTAAAGTAGTCCAGATCTCCGAGAGCCTTTCTGTAAAGATACCTCTGGATGATCATGTGTTCGACATCGTCGTTGCGTGCCTCCTTTCCTTCCTGCGTTGGCTGCACTTCACTTCGGTGACTTCACTCCCAATACCTTCACCACTGCTGCTGTTGATCCTGGAGTCAGAGCTTAATAACGATAAAGTCGGTGTTTTGAAGCCCTTTATTTCATGATAAGACCTTTAGCTTTTTTGAAGATTGAAATGAATATTAAGGGTGCTGGACGGAGGGAGATGAGCAGTAAGCCTGCCTGCGGACTTATAAACTCATCAACGCATCCCAACAGTGTCTGCAAAGTCGAGACTGTATTTACGACAGCATGAGATGCCACGAAGAACCAGCTGATAGGCCAACATCTGCATACTCGACAGTTGTCGTGCCGTGAGCTCGCCGGATGAGGCGAGCTCTTGTCCAGTTCCTGTTCTCGTCTCCGAAAGAGGATAAGACACTAAGCCCATCGACTTGCTTTGTTCCATGTTTGATATACCGTTGGGATGTTTAATGCTCCACACACTCAGAGTCCAGACCTTATGCCAGCCGGCCAGCGCAGCGAATTAATCCCCATTATCCAAGCGGTCCATTCCAGCATCCCAGCAAGCATGCAGCTGATTCTTGCCCTCTGCTCAGCTTCCCAGAAATCCCTCTGCCAGCTAAACATGGACTATGTAGTGGACACTTTGCAACTGTGCTGCTGCTAAATCGACAGCGGTGGTGCCTCTGGAGAAGATCAAACTCAAAGCTTGTGTACTTTTTACGTACACGACTGCAAACCAATCGTTCATTCATTCTCTCTTAAACCTCCTAACCTCTGGGACTTGGACAAGCCAACCAGCGAGAATAACGAAGATAGTAATAATGATTATAAGATGGTGCTGTTGGGGCGACTGTGTACCTTTACTACGAACGATCAATCCCAACTATAGTAGATGGGCCTCTGGGTGTACGATCTGGACCTACACGTACGTAGACTCTAGAGGTAGACTGTACAGCGAAAATTGCCTCGCGTGCAAATTTGGCCTCGAGCAGTAAAAGCCTGCTGCTGCTGGGTCTCTGGTATGCCTGCCAGATGCCGGTTGCAGGGTTTTTGGGAGTACTGCGCCTCCTTCCCCCTCGGAGAGAGATTCATGACGAGCATTAATTCGAGCTGAGAGCAAAAGCTGAGGGTATTTGAGTGCCAGACTTTTAGTCTGGCATGCCTGCTGTATTCGACTACCGGTACACACTGAGCGTACTTATGGTACCATCAAGCCCAGCAGCCCACCCGGATGCATGTCCTGCTCACGAATCCCACCCATGTCTTATCCTCGGTGTCTCGAATTTTGGGGCCCGAGCATGGAAGCTCCTCTCTCTCTCTCTCTCTCTGGTTTGGGCCAAAGCGCCCTCCACCGTAGCAAAAAGTCTACGAATTATCGATACATTTTTACTGCTCGAAGAATCAGAAACCAAAATGTTTTGAGCTGCAATTTACCCATAGTAGAACGCGAACCCATTGGCACAGCGGCTGGACATTAGACTGGGCTCTGCCCTGATTGGATCATACTCTGGAGGAACCAAGTCCAGTTCAATGGAAATGGCATGCACCTCAATGCATATGCTCTTCTCTGCTCTCCTGTGTCTACAATGTATCCATCTATCAATCAATCATCACATCTATCTTCAGCTTTTTTAGTTCTGATTGTAATCACGTAAGAGTTCCGGTGCATGGAGGCACGTCCTGCTCGGACCTTCTCAGAGTCCAGAGATGCACATGCTTTCTTCACGTTTAGTTACTTACATGTACTCCCATGAGCTGCTTTCATAATATCCTCATCATATCGTAGCTCGTGCGTGCCCATTGCTCTAGTAGAGATAGCAATAGCTCGTGCAGAGGTGATGATTCTCCGGATGCTCTAGAATGTGTAGATTATTTGACCTCGATAGTTCAAATATCTTAATTGCAGGGGGGAAATTTTGTGCTACTGGGGCCTAGCCTCAACTTTACCCGTTGGGCTTCATCTCTGGGGTCTTCCAACGCTTTTGCTAGATTACTTGGTACCCCTTGCGTGTGATCAATATCGAGATCTCAGCCTGTAATGCTTCATGATGCTTTGTGGGGAATGGAGGCGTCGAGAGCTCAAGATAAGATTTTGGGAAATGCCCCCATTAAGCCGTACAATGCGAGCCAGCCTGCCTGCTCGCCCCCGCCCCTGGACTCGTAAGAATATTTTGCCCTCTGCTCTAGGACGTCTCTAAGAGCAGAATTGGGCAATGTGATGCTGAGGTAGCGAGGATGCAAGCAATGACGATAGCTTGCAGCTTCCAGCTGCCTACATTGCGTCCTGACAGCTACGGACCAACCAAGATCTCCTCACAGTCTTTCTCTCTCTCTCTCTCTATCTCTCCACACGGTAGGATTCTGGAGTCCGGTCGAATTTGGCTAAATGGCTTTGGAACCCGGGTTGAGTTCCTGTGCACCCCACCCAAATTAGCAGATGATCCTTGTCTCATACATTAATGGCTCGAGCCCCGGGAACGGTGAAGGGAATGGAAGTGCACTTTTTTGCTTTTTCCTCCCATCTGCACATTTTGTCGTCTTCTTCCCAATCTCGTCCCTTCGTCCACGCTGACAGGCAGAGCATGCTGCAGATATGGCGGCAACGTCACAACCAGGCCGTGGCCCGCTCGCTCGGTGTTGACCCTCAGCCTCTCGCGCCTAATAAAACATTCGAATTCCAGGAACCTTCTGAGAAGATCAATGGAGAGAGGCACCGAATTCGCGGCCCTCTGAATTATCAGGGCGCGGGTGATCGAGGCTCTTAGACTCATCAGATACACCCGCAGCATCAACAGCAGCAGCGCACCGTGGGGAGATGATTACGATAAGCACGAGTGAGCGGACGAAGTCACTTACTTTCCGTCCAGCTAAGATCGAGATGACGAGCTCGAGATGTATGGAACTGAATGCACGTCGTCATGTCGCACACCGACTTCCCCACCGTCCGGAAACGCAGGAGTAAAGAGGGGCAGAGACAAGAGTAAAGGCAGGGTCACAATCCTTTACTCGGAAAAAGAGCAGCAAGCGAGCGCAAATCAATGAGAAATTAAAGGAGCTTGTGATGAGTCTCACAATCCGAGCACCGAATCGATCCTTGATCCGCTCATCCTTGGAGGATGAGAGTGATCATTTACGAATATTTTGCTCGAGTTCCCATGATTCCTTTTAGGTTCCTCTTTTGAGGTGGACGAGCGATCCCGCCCGCTCTTGCTCGATCTCTTCGTTCGGATGCCAAGAATCTTATGAGTGTGTGGATGAAGTTCCTGATCATGTCGATCGACGAGCTAAATATTCCGATACCATAACTCTGAAGGCTCTTACTCTTCTCGAGCTCCTTCTGTTCGTAAACCCAGCTTGACTTTTGTGAGGCATTCAAGGTTTTATGTTGTACCCTGACCTCGCTCGCTACAAGTCTGCTTTCTCTTCAGTTCCGTCAAGTCTCGTGAGTGGTGATCATTGCCTCTCTGGACTTCCCGAAATGTCTCTGTATCTTCGACTTTTGCATCGAGGATCGATTGCTATCCACAACTGTGGACAATAGTCTGGGCCGTGCACACGCCAATGCTGGTGCTATCCGACAAGCCATAACTTTCTCTCATTCCCGTTGCCTCTCGTCTCGACTCCTCTCATACACTCCACCTCGTCCTCAGGACATGATTGAGCATGACGCCCTCTCGGGGGAAAGTCAGCTTCCCGTGTCTCTGCATTTCCCCAGTTTTCGGACGACATGAAAACATCGACGAACAAAAGTGGAATTCGCACATCTTTTGTCCCGAATGTGCCCCATCCGACCATCATCACCCACGAATAGCGCACAACAAAACCCAATCAACATTTCCGCCCGGTCAAAGGAAAGCCAGAATCAGTGCTCGCCCGCTCCCCAGATTGTGTGCCAAGAGAGCATGCGAGACGAGACGAGACAAGCACCCGAGTGCATGAGCAAGATCACATCAGTCGGAAAAGTGCAAATTGTCAAAAAAGAAAAGAAAAGAAAAACCCTGAACCCTCCTCTGCCCATGCATTCATTCCCCACGTTCATCCGACATCATCACTCCTTTTCCCTCTTCGCTTTCCAGTCGGAAATTCAGTTGTTGTCTGTACATAACGTGGAAGAAACCATGCGAGCGCACATTTGGCTGCCCACATTTGTGCATGCTTCGTCGTCGTCGTCGTCGTCGTCCACTGCAAAGCGAATTTAGGTTCCGGCTGATCGTTCCAATGTCGCAAAGTGAGCTCCAGTGAGTTTAATAATTTTTTTTTACTTCTCTTGTCCGAGAGCACGGATTGCTCAGCACAACGTACGCAAGCACTGGACATACGAGATATACGCTTTTGACGTAGGCGTACGATGATGGCTGGTCGAGTGTGGAGTGTTCCGTGGGCTCAATCGGCAGGCGATCGCCAAAATGTGCCTGGAAAGGAGACCATGGCCGAGAGCTCCTTTTCGCATTGGGACCTGCGAACGATCCACGTCCAATGTTGTTCTGCACATTCGATCGCGTCCGAGTGAGTGCACGACGACATTTGAAGCATATTTTAAGCGCTTGCGTACTGCGGAAGAAACAGTTCTTCATAGGAACAGGTTAAAAATGTTAAAAATACAAAATTCGTAAGCTTTCGCAGCGTCCACTATTAATTTCTGAAAACTGTGGATTTCGAAAGGGCTGAAGAATATCGCGAGCAGCATCGACCTCCTTCCGCATAGTGAAAGTAGTAGGATATGGTGAACGCGAATAAGTTAAACAACCTATGTGTGGAAAATTTTTACAAATATGGAATATCCGATCAAAGCTAATCTCAATGGTGCTATAT